GCTTTGAAACACATGGGTTATTTATCATGTTACACTGTTAGAAGAACTTGTGAACTTTACAAATCAAAGAGAAGCCTGCACATGTGTTTTCCCACATTTTTTATATCCTAATGCCTGTCAGCTTTCCAAGCACCAGGCCGGCTGTTCAATTCACTGCCTGCTCACAAAATCATTTTCACTCTTTCGTACTCCCAAAACTATCTTGTCCCTTTTCTTCACTAAGCAGAAATCCATCCCGTTACCAGATTAATTTGGGTTTCTTACAAGTACCTCTGAAGGCCTCCCTTTGGGGCATCCCTCAATCCTATCTCCACTTCCAAGGGATTCATTACGGAAACCCTAAAGGTGAGGGCATGGACTTTAGATAAACTGCCAGTGCCTGGTATCAGCCCAATTCATGGCAGTAAGATTTTTTTTTTAAGATTTTATTTATTTATTTGACAGAGAGAGATCACAAGTAAGTAAGATTAAAGTGAAAACCAAACAGTGTGGTGGACAACCCTAGGAAAGCCCTATCCCCTCTGCCTCCTGGTGTTCAGGCCTTTGTGTAAGCCCATCCCCTGAATGTGGATGGGACCTGTGATCTGCTTCTAACCAGGAGAAGACAGCGAAGTGATGGGATATATGTGAGTGCATGCACCTAACTGTTACACAGAACTACAATGTCTAGCCTATGAGGAGGTGCTCTCCCTTGCTGGCTTTGATCAAACAAGTGGCAATTTGGGGAAGGCCACGTGGCAAGGAACCGAGGGCAGCCACTAGCCAGCAGCCATCAAGAGCTGCGGACTTCGGCCAACAGGCTGAATCCTGCTAACAACCACATGAGCTTAGAAGTGGATCCTGCCCCAGCCGAGCCTCAGATAAGAAAGCAGACCCGGGCAGCACCTTTACTTGTGAGAGCCCTAAACAAAAAAATCCTGCTAATCTGAGCTCAACTGCTCACCCCCAGTTACTGTGAGATAATAAGTGTGTGTTGTTGGGGCACCTGTGTGGCTCAGTGGGTTAAGGCCTCTGCCTTCGGCTCAGGTCATGGTCTCAGGGTCCTGGGATCAAGCCCCGCATCGGGCTCTCTGCTCAGCAGGGAGCCTGCTTCCTCCTCTCTCTGCCTGCCTCTCTGCCTACTTGTAATCTCTGTCTGTCAAATAAATAAATAAAATCTTAAAAAAAGTAAGTGTGTGTTGTTTTAAGCTACCACCTTTGTTGTAATACTGATGTGCAGCAGTAGATAACTAAATGTATGAATAAGCAGAGGAGAAGTAAAGCAGCCTCTGGCATCTGAGAGCCAACCTGGCCTTCTCGGCAAGACCTCGATGTTGCTGGGAGCTGCCCTGCACAACCTAGGTCTTGGTGCTTAACATAGGTAATTCTAAAGAATGTCAACATCACACAATGTCTTGAAGATGAAGGGAAAGACATGAGCATTCCATAATCATGTCTGAACATGGAGAAAATCTCATCATTGTTCAAATTGCAAAAATGACCAAACATCCCCCTATGCTGGCTAATAACAGTACACAGCTTTAACCTTGATTCATTACCTCATCTTTTTAATTTTTTTCATTCCCCCATCTTATTAAATTTATTTAGACACTCATTTATAGGATCGCCCTTCCTTAAAACATCCAACAGACAGCAAAGCCCTACTTTCTTGGTCCTTCCCACAAATCACCTAAAACAAGCCAGAATCCCATAGTAAGTCTTTCCTAATGCTTCCTTACTGAGATGTCGCATGGCTCCCCACTCGTGCACAGTCTCCCCCACCAGCACCAGCAATAAACCCGACTGTTCAGCGACAGTTGTGTTCCTCACGCTCTCTGGTGGGAGGCCACTGATAAAACAGGAGCAAACAATAAAGCAAACAACAACTACAACAAAGCCAAACATAACTTCACCATGGAACTTGCATAAAATTAGAGGAGTATAAACCAATAAAGTAAGAAAGAGTCCATCAACAGTTTAAATTAGATAAAAACCACAAAAATACGATAAGTTATCTCCCAAGTAAGTATAAAAAATTATGAATAAATGCTATTTGGAGAGGGGATAGGAGGAGGAAAATCGGCATGAATCCCATTTTAGAATAAATAAAAGTGAACTCCACATAAGTTAAAGAATTAAACATCATCAGTAAAAGATGAACTGAAATGTAATGGATTACTTATTGGATCCATGGAAAGATGATGACCCTGTCACCTGGAAACAATAATAAAAAGATCCATTGATTTACGTACAAATTCCTTGTTTATAATGAAAGGCAATCCAAAAATAAAAGAACACTGGGTGTTATATGCAACTAATGAATCACTGAACACTACATTAAAACTAATGATGTACTGTATGGTGGCTAACTTATTGTATATTAAAAAAAAGAACAGCCAAGAAATACTTTAGTGATGAAATATATAAATCTAGAATATAGACTGTATTCAAATTTATATGAAAAATATCACATATCCAAAAGATAAATGAGTACAGGTAATAACAATTTATATAGTACAAAATAGAACAAACAAAAACATGGAACCATGGCCCATCCTCTCGGGTGCAAAGAGGTGCTACTAAAGTAGCAAGTTAGACAAATGAAAAAAAAATGAACAAAGTTGGAAATGTGGGGCCATGGTGAAGCCCCTTTATCACTGACAGTATTTTATGTTGTTACAACTTATTTGTAAAGCAACAAAGAGAGATAACCCAACACCCAACTCCTAAAAAAACCTCTCAGTAGAAACTATCTGCTCAGAGTTTACCACAGCATTATCCACAGTGGCAGACACAGACAACTTAAAAGTCGAACAACAGAGAAATGTCTGAGGAACTGGGCTGTATTAACACATGGATTATCCAGTATTCAAATAAGTGCAAAGGCTAGAAACATAAAAAATGTTTAGGATTCAACATGACCAAAAAAAAAAAAAAAGCAGACTATAAAAAAGCAAATGAAGGTGAGTATCAGCTAAAAGCTCTCACGTGCCAGACACTGTTTGAGGTATTTAGTCACATTTCACTTAATCTCCACAAAATCCTGACAGCGAAGTAGTATTATCTCCATTTTACATAGGGAGAAAGGAGGACAAAGAGGGGTTAAATAAATTGGTCAAGTTCGTACAGTTGGGACGTAGAGGAGACAGATATGAACCAAGACATGACTTCAAATGCTGTCTTTTTAACTGTACCACCCTACATCTTGATGCCCTACCTGATGGCTGCAACTAGGAACCACCATGGAGATGTGGGACCAACCCTGGAGGGTAATATGCAAATGTGAGATGACTCTGATATGGGAATAAGATTAATAGGATATAATTTAAAAAAGCATTACCTTTAACGCTGTATGATCTACATACATAATGCAAAAAACACAATCAAGCGGTGAACCCTGAACCTCTAATTCTTCACGAGCAGTTTAATCACCTATGTCCTTGGAAAGACACTGGTTCCAAACTGATTCCAACGTCACTCAGTTCTGGCAGAATGGAATGTAGGTAGAGAGTGCAGTCACTGGTCGTGGGTACAGATCACAGTACAAGGGTGAGGAGGGAAAAGTTTAGGGGATAACAGACCCAAAAGGAGACATGGACATGCAGAGCTGACTGGGGAAAGAGGTAAGCTTCAGGACTCCCAGGCAAGGAGAGGCATACGACCAACAAAGGAGGGTCAGCCTGCTTGGTTTCCCTCTTAAAATAATCTGAGCTCTCATCCACCGGCAGTGGGTGAGTATGAAGACAAAAGTCAGGGCCCCTGCAGTGAGTACCCCATCCTCTAGTTGTCTTTTTTAAAAAACTGGATTCAGCAATGCTATGTGGCAACATAAAGGCAAGTGCCATCCAATTATGTGCTGACCACCAATCAAGAAACTTCCTTTTTGGGGCAATGTATAAATCGTTCTCCTCAATTACACTTTCAAGACTTTTAAGCTGATCTGTAACTTTAAGGATTATCTAAGTCCTTTTCCAGTCAAATCTCTGAGGACACTTTGACTACTGTCATCTTTCCTCAGTGGCAGACTGAAACAGAGGACACTTTGGACTCCATCAAAGTTGGATTAGAAAACCCGTATTAAGAAGCACTGACTCGGCGGGTAGCGGGTAGGGGAAACATGAGAATCACACCCCCGGACTTTCTAAGCCATTTTACTCATTGTATTGCTCAAAGACCTCTCATTGGTGGGAGGTGACCCCCTGCTGTGTTTACAGAAGGTCATAACTCTCAGTTTCAGGAGACATCCCTTCCCCAAGTACATCATCTGTGCAAAATCACTTGAGAAGAATATTGCACGGAGGGCTGGAGCAGAACTAATTTGTCGTCAAGGCTTCTGAGACAGGGAAAGCAAAGCTGGATGCTTTAATACACATCAATGTTTTAGGGGGATGGACTTGAGTATGGCCGGGAAAGGAAGGATGTGAAACAATGCCCTGTAAATCTGATTTCACCGATACTACATCTCAGCCGGACCAGAATCAGTTATGTGCAAAATGATTAATCACCATCTCCCTGAAATAGTCAAGGTCCTGCTGCCTATTCTTAGGATAGAAAAAAATCTAACACTGAAATATAGCTTTCAGGCTTTAGTTCATTCTATACCCTTTTAATAAAGTGGAACAAAAAATTTTGCCTTGGGCTTGGCTGAGTTATGGGGTTTGTCTCCTAAGTGGCAAAAGCTTATTCTTCGACCCAATCACCAAACTGAGCCCGAGTTATAAGAAGGCTGGTAGAGAAAGAAAAATGCCTATGCTATACCTCGGACATCAATTTATCAGATGTGATCCTTGCTCTGAGAAACAGGTTTTCTCTTTATATGTATAGAAAAATAGGCACTGCAGAAGAAAATTAACTGAGCTAATGGACAAATGCTGACGGCTTTGCATGGCGTGCATGTTTCCAACAAATGTCGCTGGTGAATTACAACGTGACTCCATCAATGATATGGAAGGGTATAGGGACACAGAAGAGATCCTGGGGGCATGACCTGAGGCAAAGACTCCAGCCGGGCCCCCACATACCTTCTCTGCGTACTCGGACACGATCTGCTTGATCTCGGCGGAGCAGAGTCCCACGATCTGGCCTACGGAGCTGGCAGTGAGGCGGCTCTGCAGTCACAGGGAAGGGGGGGGTTCTTAAGGCCATGCCTTGTCTTTCACAGAACTGGAAATCTGAATGCTCTGAGTCGTATAGCAAAAATAGGTAATACTCCCGGGGAGGAGGGGGAATACTCTGGGCTTTGTTTAGGTATCTATCAACAAGGAAAGGGGAAAACAAGCCTTGGGGCAAATGGTAAGCCATCTCTCTATCATGTGAGTCATTCAGGTGATTGTGCCAGATTCTTCCTGGTCCCTGGGTATCCCTGGAAAATCATTCTTTACCCCAAATACCCCATTCAGGGTCTTCCTGAGCAGAGGAACCTGGAAGTCTTAGAACTGAGGGGAAAAAAAAAATATACATGGGACAGAAACAGGAATCTTAGAGCTCTCCAAATACCTCATTACAGGCTTTTCCTGCCCTAAAAAGGAGGGATCCTTTCGAAGCCCTTGGTTAAACCTTTTGGACAGGCCCTGAGGTATGGAAAGACCAATGAAAAATGTGGTGTTGTATTTTCTAAGCAGATGGAGTGGGAAGGACGAGGGTTCTTCTGGCATGGGTGGTTGTGGAGAGGCAGGGCTGAACCACGGCTCCTCTACAGAGGTCCCTGTGATGCCGTCCCAGCAGGGACATCCCACTCTCACAAGGGTCCTTGGAGATCCCCAGAGGTTCCCATGGACGGCAACACTATGCACTGGGAGAAAGCTTCCTAAAAGACCCTAAGGAAAGAGGAAGCACTGACTGCTAAAAAGACAGGGCTCTGATGAAGGGGGTCCCTCTAGGAGGAGGCCCCCTGGAGTAGCACAGGGCGGTTCCACATCCCCACCTCCACATGGCGCCCCCTACACAATGCCCCCCTCACCTCCTCATTCGCCATGGCGGTCATCTTGGTCATCAACGACTGGATACGCTGCTGGAAGAAGAACGGAGAGAAGTAGCAATGAGTGGACCCCAGTACGTAAGGCTTCTGTGACGGGTCTACACAGACCTTTGTGGTGTAATCCAAGGTTGTTTACTTGTTCTCTCTAGTGAGGCTCATGGGGGAAGGGATGAGGAAAGGAAACTGGAAAGGGTGCGAGAGGCCAGCTAACAGCAGTGGGGTGTGGGAGGCAGCTGGCTGTTTTGCAAAGCTGGGGATGAAGGGACAATTTCTCCCCAGATGACTGAAACAGAAACCCCAGGGGACCTACACGGGCCACACACCTCTTCAGCAGCTTGAAGCTCATCTTCCTCACGGGCATCAGCTTTTTCTGCAGCTGACAGCCCTGTGGGAAGGACCGTCTTCTTGTCCTCGGCCTGGAAGGGAAGATGCAAAAATAGCTGGGCCCTGGAGATGAAGACTCAGTGGAGAAAGGACGACAACGCAAAGGGGCACAGATCTGTGAAGGACAATATGCAGATCTGGAAAGGTGAACCAGTCCCTGCCAAAGAGTGGGGAATCCAGAGACCTGAGCTTCCAGTCCCACCACAGACTGAGCGGGTCAAGGTCCGGGCTTTGACCTGTGCCTCACTCCATTGCTATACTGCTTGCTGGTTCAATGCCTATCAGGTCGCATGCATTTGCCAGACTCCTCCTTTGCCTGGGTCTCCTCCCTGCCGTAACCCCTTCAAGAGCAAATCACTGCCTAACAGAGTGTGTTTTTCAAACGGCCACTTGAGACCCACTGGGGGACATGCAAGTCCTTTAGCAGGAATGACCAGCATCTACAGACGTTACACAAAAATAACAGAACAGGACACATCAAAGTGCTTTACACATAGTAAAGGGTTAGGCACTGCTCTGTGAAACCTTTATTTTGGAGCTGTCTGTGTGTGTACTGAATCGTGATGAAAAACAGAATTCTTACTGCTAAGAGCAGCCAACAAAGTTTAAAAACCATTGGCCTGAAGGATAAAAATCGAACTACTTCACCTGGTGATCTAGCTTCTGGCTCTGGACCCAGCCTCAGGCTCTAAATATACCTACCGCCACGCTCAAGACACCCGCATGACCTGCGGCTTCTCAAAACTGCGCTGCAAGTCTAGAGAGCTTGCTCTTAGTTCCATGTCTGCCACCTGCCAGCGGGGCGACCGCAGGCTTACCTTCTCTGGATATCAGGGTCCTCTTGGATTGAAAAAGAGAGCTGGCGGTCTCAGACGGCCTCCTTAGACCGACCCAATTCTAGAAGGCTTTTCTATAACCTGCCTGTAACTGACCCCAGGGAACACCGTGAGCTCCTAACTGCGGGGGATATAGGTAACCCCTGCTTTCGAAAACTCGCCTTGGGCCACTTTGCTTTCACAAAAGACCCCTATTAGTACCTGTTGTTGCTGACCGAAAGAAATCTGAAAAGGATTTTCGCTTTTACAAAAAAAGGTTAAAGCGAGGACAGTTTTCAGCGTTCGTTCAGCTGTGAGCCATCAGGAGTGTGTAACCTGGCAGTGAAAGCGGGCTGCTGAGCTCCTTCCCGGGAACAACATTCAGCATCTCAGCTGCAAGAGCTTCTAACTGTATCCAAGCATCTGTGCTTTGTCTCGATTTATTTTGTGTGTCTGTTGGCACGGCTTGTATCAGAAAAGCCTAAGACTTAACTTTTTGCGTCTAGGAATGCTCACAAATTTTTTCATATAAACTGATGGCAATTGCTTCTTTGCTTTATACCATTTTGGCTTATAAAAGGCTTCACAGCTACACTCTACTTTGGGATAGTAGAGGAAACCTGTATCTGTATTTGTAGACAAGCCCAAAGTGAATACCATTTAATGGGCATCACATAACTTTTCCAACCATAATTAATACACCCAATAACTATATGCACAGACATTCTTTTCAGACTAAATTACATGCCAAATTGAACGTACACATCCAATTCTTATTATGTATCAGATGCCACCTGACATATACAAATCCAGAAAACCCTTGCTTTGGAGGAAATGACTGTTTAGTTAAAAATAAAAACACAACGGTTGCAAAATTAAATAACGAGAAGACCGAAAAAGAAGGTACCCTAATCAATGACTGGCTGCCCTGAACTACCACTGCCCCTGATAAAACAGCTCATGCTTATTCAGTATCTCCTGCGTGATGAGTCATTCTCCCCACCAAGGCTGCGAGGGGGTACAGTGACCGCCCCTCCTTCACAGATGCCGTGAACTGAGGCGCAGCGAGTAAGAACACTGTCCGAAGTCACACAGAGAAGGGATCTGAAACCAGCCAGCCTGCCTTTGGCACACATGCTCCTAGTCACTCTCCGTGCCCTCTGCTGGCTGAGACAGCAATCACCACATAACTCAGGAGGCTGAGAGCCAGGCAGGCCTCCTGGAAGGATCGGGGTTCTGGACAGAGGCGGGGTGGCAGGAGAACAGAGCCGAGAGAGGAAGTGTCCTATGCAAGGAACTCTTGGGTGTTTGATGGGGAATGAGTGAAAAAAAGAGTATCCATGGATCTCAAACTATAGGACTCTGCTTTTTAAGAGCCAACAGCAACTCTAGTCAGCATTCCATTATTTAAAAGGCAGTGGTTAAGAGCACAGGCTTTGCTGTCCCACAGACCTGGGTTCAGATTCTTATTACTTCCCTTGAAGGGCCTGCGTGTTTGTGGACAAATCCCAGAGCCTCTCTGAACCTCACAGCTTTCTGACCTCAGCTTTTCTGAAAAAAGGTAGTGTCTTCCTTACTGAGTCGCTCAGGGAAGTAAATGAAGAAAGGACATGCAGAGCCCTGCAAAAAGGCGCTGAGACACAGTACAGGGTCTGGCGCTGTAAGATGCACATGCCCGCCCTGCAGCTGACGGCCAAGGCTCGTCAGTAAACACGTACATTATGGGAGCTTTCTGAGACTGCCGTGTGAAGTTAGAACGCCCACCTCAACCTCCCTGAGTTCTCCACACTAGGCTGCCTTAGGGCAGGCCTGCAACATGGGGCTACATCACTGGCAGCACCCTGCTCACACCTGTCTAGGGTCTCCCTCCTCCAGCGGGGAATGCCCAGGGCCCTGCAGCACACTTCATCTTCACACCTCTGGAGTCAGGAGAGCCCAGCTGGTTGTCTCTGGGGCCATGACTTCCAGCCCTTCCATGAGGCTGCTGCTTCAGCTCCCTGGCCCATGAGGGTGGCAGTGCGCAGCTAGTACGAGGGAGATGCAGTGGCTCCAGGCAGCTGCCACATCCCCACTGACCCGGGTTGCCCAGGAACGGGAGCCCGGGTCACTGCGGAGCTGCAACCCCCCATTCTTGCTAAGCCCGGAGCCCATCAGCATCAGACAGAGGCAAAGGGGAGAGGCGCTTCCATCTCTCCAATGTTCTCTCCCCTTATCTATGCTTTTCTTACCTTCTCTGTTTTGCTCTGGCGGCTAAATCCATATCTCCTGCAGGCCACAAAAAAGGGAAGTTCAATTACTATTCGAAAATCACACCAATGTGGTCAAATGCATTTTGGTTGGATTTTTATATGAAAAGCACCAAAGAAAATTTAAGCCTTATGGTAACTGGAGAAAATGTTTTAAGTGCCAAACCACAGACATAGTCCACTGTTTTTGAATGAAGGGCCAGCCATTCTACTTGCCACGCGAACACTATGAACGGGGGCTCTAGGAGGGAACACAGTGCAGTGTTCTTTTTTAAGTGCAGCCATTACTCCCTGAATCAGGAGCTGTATTTCAGGCCCAAAGTTTAAGCTAAAAGCCTTAAAACTTTCTGTATAAACAAATGCAAGTGTGTTTGCTCGGGGTAAGGATGCTCCCTAATGGTTCCATTCAGAACCTGGAGTCTGGCCTATTTTTCATTCTCCAACGTCGCCCAAGCATGATGCCAACAATGTTACGTGTTCACTTCAGGCAACCTTGAATTCAAAGAAACTCACAAAAGCACTTTAGTTTAAATTAGTTTATTTTTAGGTTCTTTTTTTTTTTTTAAAGCAAGTATAGCAATGTGCAAACCATTCAACCTGAAACAGAAAGCATGATGCAAAACACCACACCTCACTTACCTTCAAGCAGTTTCTAAAGAGATAAAGGTACATGCGGCCATTTAAGAAAAGCAAAGAAAGGATGCCTGCTCCGCCTTTGCTCAGGCTGGGCCTCATTGGCTGGGCTGGTGCACTGACCTCCAGGCTCACCGCACTCCCACTCTTCCTCACTCCCTCTCTGGCTCCCCAGCAGTCTCATCTGCACACGTCAATGGCAGGCCTCTTCCCTCGGGGGCACCTTCGCTAGGGCTTCCCTTCTGCAGCTCTGCCTAGCAACCCCTTAGCCTCACCTTCTCACCTGCCATGTTCCCGTGTGGACCCTGCCTGGCAGACCGCTGTGCACACACGGGCTATTCTCCTGCTTTCCATTAGCGCCCACACCTCTGCTCTCAAGCCCCCTCCTCTCTGAAGCATGGCCCACGAAGGACAGTCTGCCTGGGCCAATCCACCCCACCTCTGTCGTGCTCCGTCTCCCCGCCCCCCACCTCTGATGGCAAGCATGTCCAGCAGTCTGTGTGCCTGTCTGTACCCTCTTCCCGGAGGGCATGGGAGCTCCTTTTACATTTTGTACTTCCAGTGCACGCTGAACAAATAAACTGAACAGAAGTGGAAGAACATGCGGGAATCCAGAAGCTAAAGCATCACCTGGCCTTGGGGGAGGCTGTCATATAACTGGAGAGACCCCAGAGTTCCAGCTGGGCACAGTGTGCCCCTTCATTGGCACAAATGTACAGACAAGTGCAGCCGACTAAAGGTAAATTCGGAGTGTCCACACGGTTTCTGAAAGGCCCTGAGGCAGATTCTGTGCATTCGTTTCACAATGTCTGAGGCAACTCCCTATACTGCAGAGGTTGGGAAACAAAAGACTCTAGTTTTTCTTTCTTTTTTTTTTTTTTTTTTTAAAGCGGGCAGAGGGAGAGAGAGACTCTCAAGCTGGCTCCACACTGAGTGCGGAGCCCAAGACAGGGCTCGATCTCATAACCCTGAGATCATGACCTGCACCGAAATCATGAGTCAGACGCTTAGCAGACTGAGCCAGCCAGGAGCTCCCAGAAACTCTAGTTTCTACACTGGGGTGCACCCAGGGCTGCGAATGCTACCCTGAGCTCCAGCAATCAGGGGCGCTTCCCGGCCATATGAATGAGCAGCAGCCAGCTGAGGAGAGAGGTATGCTGTGCTGTGTGGGTCACAGAGGTAACCTGGTTCTGGGGCCAGCAGCTGTGGCAGTGGCATCCTGATTCCGGCTGAAGTGGCGTGGTTTCTTTGTGAGCAGCCATGACGCTGGCATTCCAACCCCTTAGGCCACTAGCTAGCTTCCTCACGGTGGAGGCAGAAGCAGCATCCTTGCCCGGTTCTGATATGCTGCTTGGGCAGGGACCCCACCCAGCTTGGATCCCACCTCTCAAACGTTCCCAAGGATCCATGGAGTCAACCCCTTCTGCTGGAACTAGCTGGAGGGTTTGTGTTCTCACCCAGAGATCCCTGACCAATAGAGGATCTCACCACAGTTCCCCATGCCTAGAAGTAACCTTGCACCTTGGGTGTCCTTGGTCTAGTCTGTGGAGACCATTAGGCAGACGACATACCCTCAGACAGAGAGGCCTCATCTAAGGAGCCAGAAATTTTTGGATTTTCCAAATAAAGCAGTAAGCAACTCAATGTGAGTGACTCAGTTCCTGCCTCTTCTACTCCTTCGTAAAGACAGAGGTTTTGGGAAGAAGCTTCTGACCGCCCAAAGGCCTGGGTTAGGCACCAGTGTGCTCATCCCAAGGGCTACAATAATTATATCTGATCCTACAAATCTGTCTATTGCACTCCTGGAAGGAGTACTTCACTCATTTTTTTAAAATAGTTTTTTAAACTGAGATATGATTCGTATCACATAAAATTTACCATTTGAAACTATATACTTCAGTGGTTTTTAGTGGATTCACTATTTGTGCAACCATCACCACTATCTAATTCCAGAATAGTTCCATCACTCCAGAAAGAAACTCCATAGCTATCAGAAGCTCATCTCAAATCCCCCTCTCCAGCCCCTGGCTACCATTAACTGATTTTCTGTCTTGAGGGATTCACCTGTTCTGGACATATCATATACACAGAATCTTGGGTGGCCTTCTGTGACTGGCTTCTTCACTCAGCATGGTTCAGACAGCTCCACTGACTTTTGTATCCCTAGCACCTAGAACAGTGCCTGGCACATAGTAGGTACTCAGTCAATGGATGCTGAATGAGTACAGTCCAGCTGATTTTTCTAAAACTCTCCTTCTCCATGTGACATGGTGACAAGGCTTCCAGGACAAAGAGCTGTCCTCGGTTGCCTATTAATGCCTGCCTCATTACGTTCACTGGCCAAGATGTCTCTGGGAGACTTCCATGTTGTTTGAGCTTCACCAGGAGAACATGTATCCCTGTCTGGCCTAGCATCCCTCACAAAGAACAAGGGGATGCTTCACCTTCTTTCTGCTACAAGCATTTACTTCACTTTTATCTTTCACAGGTGTGCTGCTCTGCCCTCCCAACTCCCTCTCCTCTTGCCCTGTCTGCCCTGCCCCTTCCTCACAAGGGCCAGTCCGAGATCGGTGCTGCCAGATGCTTTAATTTGTTCCCACCTTTCCCTGTGTTAGCTCTGAGCCACCAGCCCCGCTGATGTCCTACCCTGTCAGCACCAATAGAACTCTGGCCTCTCACCGCCCACTTTACCTCACTTCCTACACCTCACACTTGATCTTTAACATCAAGAACATCTTCTAGAACAGCATAGTCTAAAAAAAATGGAATGAGAGCCAAATAGATAACGTTAAATTAGTAGGCTCACATATTCAAATTACTTTAAATTTAAACTTTTCCTAATAACTAAATCAAGCATGAGTCTTTAAATGTAACTTAATTAAAATTAAAATTCTGTTCTTGAGTCACACTGGTCAAACTTCAAGTGCTCAACAGCCACATATGGCTAATACTACAGCACTGGACATCACAGTTCTAGAAAACAAACTAACCTTCAAGAACAAGTGCTGCAGGGCAAATTAAGTCTGGTATCAAACTATCTGAAATCCTGAACAAAACAGGGGCATAAAAAAGCCCTGAATTGGGGGGTGGGGGGGAGGGATAGGGTGGCTGCATTAAGGACATGGGGAGGGTATGTGTTATGTGAGTGCTGTGAATTGTGTAAGCCTGATGATTCACAGACCTGTACCTCTGGGGCAAATAATACATTATATTTTAATAAAAATAATTTTAAAAAACACACTAAACTGTAGGTATTTAACAAGTGTAACTGGATGAGTTTTGACATACATATGTACATCTGTGAACTTAGATTTCTTTTAACTCACGTACTGCTTTTATACATACAAAAAAACAAAACTCAACTAAATAAAGCTCCAGTGTTCCTAAAACACAACACAACAAAACAAAATGCAATGCCCTAAACAGTAAGGACTGTGGACCCCATTCTCCGTTCATTCCACAAGCATGTACAAGATACCTTCCATGAGCACGTCACAGGCCTTGCCATCACAGAGGATACAAACAGGTTGGGAGAGTCATGTCATATTTCATTTACTAAGGAACAGAATGACTTCAAAGCAACTAAAATTAGGCCTCAAATAGTGTGGAAAAGGCTAATGCCAGGATTCTAATGGTTATGCTTCAAAATTCTACCTCCAGGTTGTTGGAGAGAGTTACAGGCCCAAGGTACAGTCACTTGCTGCTGTGACAGCAAACCGAGACAGAGTTTCAACCCCTCCAGGAGTGGAATTTCAAGTCAAACAATCTAGAATTTTTTGGACAGAGGTAATCTGTCATAAGGGCCCTCTCCATCCTCCAAAGGAAGATGAGGTAATCACCTAAAAAGACCCCTTTTCTTCCCCCTAAAGGAAGGTGACCTTGACTGAAACAATCCTTTGTTTTCTTTTGCTAGTAACTTCTTACCCTATCCTCCTTCCTATAAAAACCTACTGTTTTGTACAGCTCATGGGAGCTCATTTCTACTTGCTTCATAGGAGGCTGCTGGGTTCATGAATCACTTAATAAAGCCAATTAGATCTTCAAATGTACTTGGCTGAGACTTGGGCTTTAACAAAGTCAAATATACTGCACATAAAATGCATTTCCCCACGGCGGCAGTTCTACAGCGCGGGTAGGTGTTTTAATTTAGCTCCTAAAAGCTGACTGGACACATAAAAAACTGAAATAGTATAAACTTGCAATTTTGTTGAAGTCTAAAATCAAAACCGTGAGTCTTGTTTTTCCAATATCATAACACTTAAACAAATCTTTCCAAACATGAACAGGCATACACAGTCCTTAAGGCCTTCAGCATGGCTGACAGGACTCAAAGTCCAACTTCATTTCAGCAAATAAGTCAAAAAGGTGAAAGAAGCTGGAACACTGACCTCAAAGCCAGATGCACTGTGGGCCTAGGCTAATGAGTAACCTTCAACCCCAAAGAGTTGCAGACCTTCTTACTCCAGGAGTCAAAATACTTGCCCTCTTATCAAGAGGTAAGATACAGAGGAAACCAGAGGCACGGACAAGAGATGGGGGATGTGGATTCTTAGGTGGTGGGGATGAGCAATTCAGGGGTGCCATGATGTTCACACCAAAGGGAGAGACAGGATGGAGGGTGAGTCCCAGGGCCAGTGGAGGCCCCGCCTTGCTTGACTGGGGAAGGGAAGGAGGAAGAGTGGTTTAGACCTCTCAGCAGGGGTTCGGGGGGGCTAGTGCTAGGGGTACAGAGTACAGGGACAAGGAGAACTAAAAGAAGAGGCACATTTGAGTCTACAGGTCATATTTAAGGGCATTTGAGAACTGAAAACTGTTGCTACTGCTGACAGAGCTTAGCAGTTGACATTTACTGTTTTCTGCACAGGACAAACTACTCAGAATTCTTCACATGTGTATTATTATGTAATCCTCATTTAACGGGCAAGACCATTTGTCTAGGGGACAGTACTGACCAAACCCTGAGGAGAAAGTCTGATGGCCAGAAAGGAGGGGAGGGCTTTCCCAAGAAGGGGGAATGAAATGCATACTCGCTAGAGCTTTAAGTTTTGTCCAATTTGTCCTGTCAGTTTTAATGACCACTCGCTTCTTGTTCAGTGTCAGACCAAACAATAAAGACTGGGCCTGTCTTCCTAAAACCGGAGCCAAACTTCCCCTGGAGGCTCAAACAATACTTTTAGCTAAAGATAAGAGCACGTTATCAGGGTCTAACACACCTGAGTTCGAGTCCCAGTGTGAGGCTCTTATTAATTCTTAAGAGTAGTTAATAGTTGATGTTGGGCAGGTTACTTCTTAAATTTTCTGAGGCTATCTTGACCATTCTCAAAAAAAGAGAACTGAGGTGATTGAACCATCAGAAGGTCCTAAGTATCCACTTCCCCACCTCTCACAAACTCACCATTACCTCATCAGGAAAGCTAAAAAGAGAGAAAAATAACCTCTCTCCTAAAAAAAAAAAAAAAAAATCCTTCAGCGAACACCCACCCTAAGATCAGAACTCAGCAGAAGGTAGCCTGACCCCACCAACAGGAACCAAGATTGACATCGATACACTCTGCTCTTTCTTACGCTCCAAATTTGAGAGGAGTCACAAAAGTAAACCTGTGCATTGCTCCCTTCCCTAGAGAAAGTCCCACCAGGCTCTGGACCCAAACTGCACCAATCACTCCTGAGGATGGGCAGGGACATCCTGAAGTCACCCAGTAATCACATGACAATAATGACTGCCCTCTATGACACATGCCAAAGAGCCAGTTTAAAACTGAGAATCTTAAAAAAAAAATAGTGAAATATTGTCAGCCTGGTCTCGGTAAGGCAGACAATTCACCAAATCTCTGACTCCTTTTCATCCCCAGGAGCATCTGAGTATTCCGTGACAATGCACAAAAAATGGAGGTATGAACAATACAAACTAAAAAAACCATAACACTCCCTGAATATTTTTGGGCTCTGGAACATGTGACACCCAGAGAGGTGGTCTCTCCACCGTGGCTCAACTGGGGCAGTACGGCCCCACCTGCCCACCTACAGCTGGGGCGTGGTTGGAAAACTCCATCCCAGGGCCCAGGACTCACAACCCATCCAGATGCTCAGGGCCCAATACTCAGAAGGGCCCTACGCTTGGTTGTCTTTGGGGTCATGAAATTCCTAATAATTAGTCATTGCTAGCAATTCTTAACAAGGGGCTCTGCATTTTCATTTTATCCTGGGCCCCACAAATTACGTAGATGGCTTGGTGGTGCCTGACTCGGAGGAGGCGTTCAATTCACAGCAGCAACTGGGGAGCTGCGAGGAGAAGACATCAGACCCAGCTAAGGGCCAGAACTCACACCTTCCTCCGAATGAAACACACTAGCTTTCACTCTTAGGAAGGACAGACCTGATGCCACAGAACTCCCTCCCAAAGAAAAAGGAAGAAAAAAGGTGGCGACTTTTTTGGGAAATGTTTTCCATATGAAAGAGAAGTATTTAAGCCAATGAAGCCAAACTTCTTTCTGGTTCTCTCTAGTGCCTCAGAGTGGGGAAGCCTTCAGATGCTCACACAGGGAGGTGCTGGGGTCGAGCTGTTAGTTCCAGCCACCGGAGGAGGGCTGGGTTACTAGACAGGGCAACACACAGCAACCACTCTCAGCATAAAGAAAGGAAGCACAAGGAGACATACTCACATCAAGGAATCAGTTACCCTAAGTAGAAAATGCAGGACATCAGTGAAGGTTAATACCCAAGGTCAACCAAGAAATTCAATGAGAACAGCACTTTTTTATGTGCTTTTTAAGTAAAAAATGAGAATAAAAGATAACTGGTATTTTAAAAAAAAATTACAAAGGTTATTAAGAAATGACAAAATACTTCTAAATTCTTCATCTTCCTGCTCAGGAAAATCCGTCACGGGAAATCAAAATTACTGCTCTAACACTTAAAACTACTGTTAACTGCTTTCGATTCTGTAGTTTACCTAAAGATTTTAACCAATGGCAGGAATATGAAGGGCAGACTACCGCTGGCCTCAGCAAATACCCCAAACACCCCAAGTCCCCAGGAGGGCAGGGCTAGGGCCCACAGTCATACACACATTTCCAAAGGGGAACTGCAAAAACCAGGCCTCCCCCACCCTTGGGAATGCTACCCACAGAAATGTGGGTAAGTCAACCCCGGAGAGGAAAGTCTCCGGTGACGGAAAGCTTGGGCGAGAAACAGTAAATTCAATCAGGTAAAAAACAAAAAACACAACCAAATTAATCTCAGTGAAGCAACCTAAATTAGCTTTTCTTTTCAAAGGCTTTATAAAACAGACACTTCAGCCTGGGTCCCCTTCGTTACCTGCCATATTCCAAAAGTGTGGCATGGACTCGGGATTCTTCATCGAGCAGCTCTTCTGCTCCCTGCTGGCGTTTGTATTTCCGACGGGGCTTGTAAACATCCTAAGAAGTGGATGAGACAGACGGCTTACTGAGTGTGAGAACGCTCCCTTTCTGAACTGCCTGCTGGTGTAACAGTGGGCACTCAGGGCGGCCGCCTCAAGGAGGTCGCTCCTTTGACATTCATACAGTTAGTAAATATTTCCACTCAAGATACTGCTTGTCAACTTTAACTTGGTGTTTCTTTTTTTTTTTTTTTAAGATTTATTCATTTATTTTTAGAGAGAGGGAGAGAGCAAGTGTGGCAGAGGGAGACAGAGAGCATCCCCAAGGAGGCTCCCCACTGAGCAGGGAGCCTGACACGGGGCTCAATCCCATGACCCTGAGATCGTGACCTGAGCAGAAACCAAGAGCTGGACACTCAACTGACTGAGCCACCCAGGCGACCCTTGGTGTTTCTTCTGTACTTTGGCATTTTAATATTTTTTGTGGTCAAACTTATCAGTCGTTTTATATCTTACTTATTACCAGGGATTGTTACAAAAAAAAACCCAAAAAACAAAAAAAAAAACACCCCAAACTTCTTGTCTGATACTTGTACAGGTTATACTTAGCTTTTTATTCTATTAAGAAACTTTTTTCCCTGAATAGAAAATTAAGAATCCCAACATCATCAATAGTCTAGCCTTTACTTGATCTGAAATGGCATACGTGTAAGTAACATGTACCAATGTTACCCTCTTCAATTCCTCTTGCTTTGTGAACCTTTATCCTGTCTCCACTGTTCGTTTTCAAATTTCCTGGCTATTGTAAGCATTCTCTCTTTCAAATGAATTCTAGTATCAACTTGTCAGGTTCATAATAAGTAACTGCTGAGTTTTGATTAGAATCATACCAAATTTACAGATTATTTTGGAAAGAACTGGCATATTTATAATATTGAATCTTGCCCTGGGAAGCAAGGTTTATTTTTCTATTCAGATTTTATTCCATAAAATGTTCCAGAAAAAAATACAAACTTTCTAGTCACTGCATATCCAGACCTTTCCACCACCCAGAGCCACAAACCAGTTAAGCGACCAGTTTAACCGGTTAAAAAATTCTGGTGTATAGCTTAACCCAGAATCCTTAAAAAAAAAAAAAAAAAAAAAAATGCTTCAATGGTAAAGGAGATTTCAATTCTTAGACTTTAACAGCAGAAAAGAAGGACAGCTACAAAACCTTCAGCGATAACAACTTTTTTACAAAAGTATTGGGCTAAGGTTTATCCCAAAAAAGGTGTATAGAAACACAGATGCTCTATCAATTTTCACTGACTTTTTAAATTACTAGAATGTAATTTAATTATAAATGTAGAACAAACATAGATCTATTTTGTATAGGACAAATTCTGAAAGTATATATATATATATATTTTTTTTAACAAAGTACATGGCGTGTAGTAGGTGCTCAATTAATGTAGTTCTTCACTCCCAGATGACCTGACTTAGCATTCTGCCCCAAATTAATGTCCTCCTTGAGTGTCAAGCTGGCAGTCAAATAGTATCTTAGGAAAATGTGCTCAGGGCTCTGGGTGCAAGTAGGCAAATATTTATGCAAGGAAGGTATTCCAGTTGTTCGTCCCTGATCTTTTCTTCTCCACGACCAGAGTTCATCACAACTAGCCTCTACCTGGACATCACGAGGACAAGCACTACTGTCAGGTTTCTTCAGAGAGTGGTATTTTTATTCCAAGTAGAACTGTACCTCCCTTGATAATTCTTAACTTTAGTATTTTACTGTTTATTACAAAAAGTTTCAAACATACAGAAAAACATCCTTTTGTAACACACACCATATAATTTTAACAATTTTGTAAAAAAAAAAAAAAAAAAAAGGAACGGACTAGGGTCTGGGATGACGCTGGAGTGTTCTTGTAACTTGCTGCCAGAAATAATTCCTAGTTTGCTGCTGGTGCCTACATGAATAGGAAGCTATAAATAATGTAAAACAGATTCATGGGGAAATGCAACACATAACGAATCCGCATGACGTCAGTTACTGAATATGATTTAATTCTCGCTGAGCTCTACTATTACAGCAGTACTATATAATTGAGCTTAACTGCTATCTTCCTTAGTTACCACTGATAGAGTCAATGAGCTAAGACAGGAAATTGGATTCTTCTAAAAAAAGGACTGACTCCAAAACAATAGCATACTGAAACCAACAGCTACAAGGACCTTTTATTCTGGGAAACAGTGACAATGCTGGCCTTTGTGTAATTATTCCTTATACTTGAAAACGCCTCATATACATCTCACCTTTGCATTTATTTATTTATTTATTTGACAGACAGAGATCACAAGTAGGCAGAGAGGCAGGCGGGGTGGGGGGGGGAAAGTAGGCTCTCCTCAGAGCAGAGAGCCCGATGCGGGGCTCGATCCCAGGACCCTGGGATCATGACCTGAGCTGAGGGCAGAGGCTTTAACCCACTGAGCCATCCAGGTGCCCCTCATCTTTGCATTTCATAACTGTTCCCAGAGGTAGAGACAAGGCAGATGCTTTTACCCCCATTTTATTACTTAAGAAGCAGAGATTAAATCATTTGTCCAAGATCTCTAAAATAGTATTAGACCTGGTCCTAGGTCCCCTGACTGCTAGTCCCAGGGTTCTTCTAATACACTCACTTGCTTCTGGTGGGCATTCCCGCCACCCTCCGGTGATCTCAAATGAGTCCTCTCACAAGACCACCGTATACCCAAGGCTGTCATATGGATCATTACAATGGTTGCTTAAGTAACAAGGACCTAAATGTCAGAGGTTTTCAGGCCAACTTAAAAAACTATTGCTAAGTCACCCTTTAAAGCAACAGGAGTCAGCACTGATGTCTAGTCTGGGGTATGCCATTAACTAGCTCTGTGACCTTGGGAATTCCCTTCAATGGGCCTGTTCCATTACCTGTAAAACCAGGGCTAGACTAATAGTCCTTGAATAGGCTCTTGTTCTCTGTGCTGAAGGACATATGAGCAGGGTGAACATACTAAAGTGACTCTTTAGTAAAGCAGAGCTCTGGCACTGTGAGAGTCACAGATTTCTACCTTATGGGTCTGGCTACAAGACACTGGTTAGAAGAATTCCTGAGTCACATTTCAAACGGCAGGGAAGGGAGGTGGAAGGTGGAAGAGCACAACACTGGGGCAGGGTCTGCAGCACAGACCAGTCACTATTACGGAGGGTTTCTCCTTTCTGAAATAATGAGCAGGCAGGGAGACAGCCACCACCAACTTGGCCTTCTCTGGTTAAGAGCTCCAGTGCGCCAGGCCACACGTGGGTCAGCAGGAACTGACATTCCCCTGCCTGGCCTCCGCTGACCTTGACACATTTCTCAGGGCTCAACTCTCAGAGACACACCTCAGCCCAGGTACCCTACAAACTAAGTCTGCTTCACCTAACAGGGCTCCACAGACATCTCCACCATCAAGACCAGTGTCCTGAAAGATCCTGTAGGAAAAAGTTATTATATCTGGGACAAATACATTTGCTTTTTTCTTCCTTCCATTCTCACACTAATAAAACAACAAAGGAAACAAAGCCCCTAGGTACTAAGTGAAGGAAATGGGAGATCGATGGATGGCGACCATTTCTGGAGAGAGGAACATGTCTGCAGGGAGGAAAGTTAGCTGGGGAGGGAGAGTTTTCTCCAGACTTTGTTCCCTTTTCTCTTCTCTTTCACATGAGCTCTGCTCTGCTCCTTCAGGACCAGCACACATCCCACCGCAGGGCTCCAGTGTAATTTGCTGGGTAAGACGAAGGTCACTGTATTAAATAGAGGGGCCGGAGTTGGCTTCTGCACTTCGGCTCTTAGGTTTATTTCCTCACAGCGGGCTGAAACCCACTGGCTCAAAAGCATGCCAAGGCCAAACTCCAATTTTTATACATCCAGTTATTTCAAATGTGGCCCAAATAGGCAGATTGTTAGCCACTGACAGCCTGTTTGTGTCATATACTTTATACAACTGCATGTCCTGACCACTGACAGGGTAAGCCCTGGGACTGGAAAGACCCAAAACTGCTGCTGCAAATCTCCTTCGGTGATCTCTGACTACACAATCTCTGTGCTGTTGCTTTGTGACATTGCCGAGGCACCTGGACAATCTCCAGGAACCCCAGGGGGTTCCCTTGCTCCCCTCCCGTTCAGGATGCAGCCCTGACGCCTAGAACTCTGGATGGTGGCTTGCTGTGAGAGACTGACTGCCCCATCCTACAAGTTCACCTGTCAAAGCATCACTCCAGTATAGCTTCTGTGCGCTGCTGCCCCCTCGTGGTCGTATCTTTTTCCTTGAAGAGACCCCAAATTCCCTTGATTCCCTTACTGACAGAAATTCACTGCTTTGACCTCACCTCCTACAGTGCGATCATCGGACACATGGTGAGTGTGCAACTAACATTACTGAATGCATACGTGCACAGATAAGCTTTTAGTCCTAACCCCGTTTACCTTACTACCTGCCTGATTTGGGGCAAGTTACTTTAACCTCTGTGATTCTCCATCTATAAAAAAGATATAAGTACGGTTATTATGAGGATTATTCCATAGTATCTGACACACAGCAAGAGCTAAGTTAGATAATATATATCTAAGCTAAGATATATATAGATATACATAGACATAAGTATATCTATGTATGTATATCTAAGATAGCTATACATATTTTTTTTTTTTTTAATGGGGGTAAGGGGCAGAGGAGAGGGAGAGAAGAAATCTCTGACCAACATCAAGAGTTGGAAACTTAACCAACTGAGCCCAAGAGATCTGTTTTTAATATAGTATTATTGATAAAATGTACTAACATTTTTCTATGTATGCAGCCACATCTGTATTTTATGTACTGAATGAAAAGGCCTTCCTCATAGCATTTCTGCAGTAATAATTTCAAATGTCATGGTCTCCTAGGTGATCCCATCAGTTCCGCAAAGCATTTTCTTCAACTAAACTGGAAGTTCTAAGGGTCCTTTCCCCCCTTCTATTCTTACACAAAATTCTAAATATTATCAAAAAGTGTTCAATGAATAGTAAGCGATTACTTTTTGGAGCTTTGGGTAAAATTTCACAGGTACTCTTTACTCCAGGGTAACCGGGAATAACAGACCTCACTGCACAGAACAGACCCATGAGATATATGAAGGCTGACGGCTGAGACAAGGAGGAAGGAAGCTGTACAACAGGCTAAGTGAGACAAATGAGCAACTATGTGATGACACGAAAAGGAGAAGGTGGTAAGGGGGGACCTGTCCTGGGTGGCAAGAGTTTTGATTTCTTATGTGCTTTGAAAATACACCTCCCATCGGCAGGACTTCTACAAAGCAGCTAGCTACTCTGTAAAAAAAAGGTATGGAGAAGCCAAGAAGTAACACATTTCAAGAAGAAAGCCGAAGTACTGGGAATAATCCCCAAGAGGAAGAAAAATGAGGCCAAGACAAAGAGAGAAAACCTCAAAGTGATGAGTACAGAAATTCAAGTTCACAGCAGTCTTTCTGCCTGGCAATCTGCCAGAGGTACTAACAGCCTTAGGCATAACCTCTGACCCAAATCCATTTCATCCAATATTTCCTAAGTAAATAAAGATAAAAGGAAAAACTTAGCTATGAGAATATCCTACATAGTGGCCAAAAGAAAAAATAAGATACAAAGTAAGCTAGTTAAATTAATACCACATAATGAATAATCTATAGCCAGTAAAAAAGGCTATGGGGGAAAGACAGTCTCAATTACACTGCTGAGCAAAAACCAAAACAGAATATACAATGTAATGCCATTTTTAGGGATCTCTACTTCTTTGTATTGATATCCCTAACTCTGTATTTCCTACTTGGAATATATATCAGTAATTATCCCTGGCTGGTGACATCATGGTGACTTAGTCTTTGTAATTTTTCCCCATTTCTTCATCTTTTGTTATTATTACTAAGTTACTAGTACCAAATAAATATAGGCTTTTTAAAAACAAAAAATCATGCACCAAAAAATGGCTGGGCTACATAACCAAGGACAAATGTAAAAGACTGGAACAGTCTTATAAGGATAAGTATAAGCTAAATATTTTACTTTTTTTTAAAGATTTTATTTATTTATTTGACAGACAGAGATCACAAGTAGGCAGAGAAGCAGGCAGAGAGAGAGGAGGAAGCAGGCTCCCTGCTGGGCAGAGAGCCCGATGTGGGGCTCGATCCCAGGACCCTGAGATCATGACCTGAGCCGAAGGCAGAGGCTTAAGCGACAGAGCCACTCAGGCGCCACAAGAATAAGCTAAATATTTTTTAAAAAATTAAAAGGTTTAATATTTATTTTTTTAAGAAGAGGTTATACCTAAGTAAGAATAAGTAAAAGCCTGCTGGTTGAGGTGCAATGGTATTATGTTCATAGATGAAGAAAGACAACACGATAGTTTCCACTTGGCAGACATTCTCTAGCTGGACAAAGGGTTTTCCAGTAGGAAAGTCACAGAAAATGATCCCGCAGGGGACTGAAGAGGTGGCAGGAGAGCCCCTTGCCGCTCTAGATGCCTCCGAATCTCTGGGACCGAGATAAGCAACATCTCAGAGCCTGAAATAAGCCAGGAAAGTTGCCGTAAGTTGGTGCCAGGAGTGCGTGGGAAATCAGAGTCCAGGCAAAGAGAGGAAATGGGAGGAGCACCACACCCGTCATGTTTGAGATCTGATGTAAAATCAAAATCTGGCTGCTTCTTCCTATTCTGCAAATATGGAGGGAATCTGTTAACCATTCTGGCTTCAAGCTTCTGATTTATAAAACAGAAATAATAATATGTAACTCGCTGAGTGTTGGGGAGGAGCTAACGAGAGGATGCTTGGGAAAGGCCTAATGAGGTGCCAAACACATAAAAGGCCCTCAATCAGTATGTGGCAGCTACAGATGTATGTTTTAGAAGGCTGGGTCTGGAAATTAGGCACCTATTGTGGGACCTTATTTGAATCCGTAAGTTACCATTCACAATTTAAGTTTGGGATTCTAGATTCATCAGTAAGGAGCAGGTAAGAAACACTGAGGAGGCATGTGAAGGGCAGACCTGGGAAAAGGGTAGAAGGAGAGGGAAACAGGCTTCAGTTTAGTAACAAATCAGTTACTATTTTTCATGACAACTGTAGTTAGGAGGAATCCTTAATAGCTTTCAAAGACACTACATTGGTAAGTTTAAAAAAACACAATTATATTCAAAGTATGACTCCAGCTCAGTATAAAAATGCACATTAAAAACATGGAAGAGGGTGCCTGGGTGGCTCAGTTGGTTACATGTCTGCCTTCAGCTTCCATCATGATCCCGGGTCCCTGCTTAGCAGGGGGAGTCCGCTTCTCTCCTGCCTATTCTGCCTGCCACTTCCCCTGCTTGTGCTCTCTTTCTCTGACAAATAAATAAAATCTTAAAAAAAAAAAAGGAAGAAATATGTCCAAGCATCAAAAGAAGCTATTTCTGTGCTGTGACATTAAGGCTGATTCTGTTCCTCTGTATCTATCAACCTTAAAAAAAACCCAAAAAACTTTAAGGATGTCTAAACAGAACAACTATTTCATGACCAGGGGAAAACAATTACTCTGAAGTCATATCATGTCCTGCTGTTATTATTATTTGATACTGCCACCATATCTGCGAACAGTGTCTGGCTTCAGAGTGTAACTGTCTTGAAAGTTTTCTACTCCTTCCATTTCCAAAATGGAATTGTGGAAAGAAAGAAATTACAACTCTAAAGTGACAAAGACTTTTCTTGTTTTAAATGAGCACTTCACGTCATCGAATGATTCTTATTCTTTTTAGAGTGATCACCTTGGAAGACCACATATTTATTCTTAAAGTAGGGGGAAATGCAAAATAACTGGGCACATTATTTTTGGAAGGAAGCGAACTTGCCCCTTCATTCCCAGCTGCTCCGGTAGGAAGGCTGGGGCTGGGTGGGGTGTGTGCCGGCGATAAGGTTCTGCTGGGCTGGCCCAGAAAGGTTTGAAAAGCTCTCTGCTGCCCCTTGCACCCGGGGTAGTGGGCGCGTGAGTGCAGACTCCACAGTTAAGATCCACTGTGTGGGTGGCCAAGGCCATCCCAGTTTGTCGCACAAAACTCAGGAGCTGCTCTGCCTCTCCAGAGCCGTCATAGGGTGCTAACCTCAATTTGCCAGCTCCAGTTCAAAGGAGCTCTTCAAAGTTGACACCTGCCACTGGCACAAATGAGGAAAGGCTTTGGATCTGGAAAATTCCTCCCAGAAAACTGGAACTAAGAAAAACATAGGGCAGCGGCTGTGGCATTTTCTACCCATGAATGCCAGCGTCCAGGTATGGACACTGAGGTAGGCAAGGCCTCCCTCACACACCTACTTGAGGTCAGCACCTGGGCAATCCCAGGAGGGACTGGGCAAGGGTTTTGGGATTTGAATCACGGGGCTATTTGGAGGTTATGAACCTATGTCCTTCTCTCACAGAGGGGCAGAGTAACTCACTGAAAGGTCAACAACTGTCTTGATGGCCTTTTCTTTTCTCTTTGTGAAGTCATCATCCTGCAAGACAAAACACAGGGATCAAACAAATGGTATGTGAAGACTGAAACGCAACAGGACTTCTCAGAAACCTGTCTTACAAACTGATTTCTCATCACAGCTTTGCCTGCAGGAGCTTCCACCTTCTAACAAAGTGGACGATAACGCTCACGGGAAGAAGCCAGGGCCTCTGCAGATGGCTCCAGAACAGGTCCCATGGTGGTAAGAAAGAGGGGGACCACGGAGTGTAGTGCTGAAGCCAAGTGTTCTCATTCAAACCCTGATGAGCTCTGACACCCATGGCAAGCGACCCAGTCTCCAAGCCTCAGTCTCACCGTCTGTTAACAGGGACCCCGCCACCTACGTCAAGGAGTGGCTATGAAGCTTAAAGAGAAGGCATGTGATAGGCTGGGACTGAGTAGTAAGGACTCAATAGCTATGTGTTATTATCGCAGTGGGGGAGGTTACTATTAAACTGGTACTATAGGAATGCCCTAGACAATGACCTAGGTGGTCTCTCAAAAAGCTTTATACAATCATTAAAAAAATACACTCATGTTCTTATAATTTAATAAGAGTTCTGACTCAAGTACTAAAATTGAAAGAAAAGGACAAGACTGCAGAGCTTTACACCAGTGCCCATTTAAAGAGGCAGTTCTGACGAGCCAGGAGGCCTGCTGTCAATGCTGGCCAGGCGGGGCACAGACATCCCGCAGACGGGTCTGAGTTTACGCCACTCCTCCCTGGGGAGTCTCTAAGTGTACACTCATGTACACTGGACGACAAAAGAAAAGGAGAATACTGACCTCGGGGAGACTGTAGGTTTTCTGGAACTGGGATATGGAGTAGGAGCGGATGTAGTCCCCCATTTCTTCCTTGGTTTCTATAGCTCGCTTCACCAGCCACTGGGAAAGAAAGGTGGGAAATGTGAGGTTTGGGATGAACCATCACTGTGGTAAAGGCCGACTCAGAGACGGTACAACCCGTGAACCCAAATCACTTGAACCCAATATCTGAACTGGCTGAGTGATGAGAAACTATCCACACCTACTGTCCTATGTGAAAAGCAGCCCGTTGGGCGTCCAAGAGGCCGAGATCCATTGGGATCAAGAGCAGAGCCGCTGTGCAGGAGGCTTAAAGCCTCACGTCGGATGCTCAGGCCTCATTTTCCTTCTGTGTAGAGGTGAGAATATATCGTTTCTTTCACCTCACAGAGCTACTGTGGGAGGACATGAAATCCTAAGCACTAGAATGTTCTGTAAATGCCTGAAGCACAACACGAATATAGTCACACAGCCCCCTGGTTCTAGTGGCAGATCTGAACATCACTCTTTCTTGTGCTGCCAGCGCCAAAGACCAGAGAGAGGGAAGAGAGCCTCAGAGAATGTCTAGTACAATCCCTTGTTTCACTGACTGCAACGACCTCCCAAAAATTCAGATTTGAGGACAGGCTTGTTGAGTACACAGCCCTAGGCTTCAAGGGAGCGAGACACTCACAGCATTTGCTCTTTTTTTTTTTTTTTTTTAAGATTTTTATTTATTTATTTGAGAGAGAGAGAGCATGAGAGGGCAGAAGGTCAGAGGGAGAGCAGACTCCCCATGGGGCTGGGAGCCCGATGCGGGACTCGATCCTGGAACTCCAGGATCATGACCTGAACCGAAGGCAGTTGCCCAAACAACTGAGCCACCCAGGCACCCCAGTATTTGCTGTCTTAATCCACACAATATCATGCCAGCCACGCGGTCCAGAACCTGAGGCTCAGAGACCGCGTGATCTGTCCATTGCTCCGCAGGTAGCAAGCACAAGGCTGCGAGTCTCAGAGTCTCTCCCACACCAGAAGACTGGACATACAGGTTTTATTTGTTTTCTAGCTGTACTGGGCTGATATGCAGAAGTAGCTGTTCTTCACTGCTCCCCACTTAAAGCTCCAGTTAGTGGCAACACACAGAGACACACCCCCAGGACCTGTGGAAGATGCAGGTGCTGAGAGTAAGAATGTGGATACAGAAACACAGCCTCTGCCTCTCTTCCCTGGCTCTTCATGCAATCCCTTTATAACGAAAGAGCATCATGGAGGGGGATGCCATCTGTCTGACTCACCATGCTCTGTCCAGACAGCTAGTACATCTCGAAAGCAGTATATGGACAGTAGCTGTATTTCCCCATGAGCACAGCATACTTGGCAAGCCTTAGCTACCAAGGAAAGCAGACACATGGCATACTGCATGGTGCTCCTACAGGGATGGACGGGATGCTTGCTCATAGAGGACAGCCAACTCAAGTAAAGGACATGTTCAGGAAATTGCTGCCCAAGATGGGGATGGCTGCAAAGAACTCTAGGAGGAGTATTTCTTTATTGTTAGTTTCATTTGTTTCCATCACTTCACTCACCCCACCTCCAAACAAGGACCTCAGGCACTAAAACCCAGAAGCCAGGACAAAAGATTGGACAGTATTTAGAGATTCCGTAGCCCCTCTCCCACACCTCACCCAGCATCACAGCCCAAGACAACTAAGGAGGCTGACTCCCTGCTCAACTCAACTTCTCTCTACTTTTCTTTGGATGAGGAGATGCAGCTTCTGGACTCTCAAAGTTGTTTCTTTTTCAGATGTTCCTCCATGAGTTAGATCTACACTGACTTTTTACTTGGCTGGATCCTGGTGAGTGTGATGCGATAAGGAAGTAAGGAGTCTTAGGATTCAGAGAATTGGTCACCGTTTTGGAGGTCCTAGAGTGAAGGGCTTTGGAGGGAACCTCTTAGATAGCCGAGCTCTGCTGCGGGCCCCCAGCATTCAAGCAAAGTACCTACCCTCACAGGATTCCCATGTCCAGCATGGAAGGAAAAGATAGGACCTAGAACTACTGGGGCTGGAAGTTAGACCCATTCTTCTCGGGGCTGGCATTCAGAGTGCTCCTAGTGCTTAACAGTGTGAGCACAGGTGGTGAGCGTCTAGAGGTACACAAGACAGCTAGCTTGATGACTGCTCTTTACTGGTCTCCAGCAAAATGGGCAAAATCTACAAGTATGTGGTTAGTTTTTCATAATACTTTGATAGTATTCCATTTAAGGGACTAGCCTTTATTCTGAGATTGGGGGTTAAAAGGCCTTTCTTTTAGGAAATGACAGAGAAAGACAGTTGTTATAATTTCTTTATTGAAGTATAACTGAAATACAGTGTTATATTAGTTTCAGGTGTACAACATAGTGATTCGACAATTCTATGCATTACTCAGTGCTCACCACAATAAATGCAGTCACCATCTGTCACCACACAATGTTATTACAATAGTATTGACTATATTCCCTAGGCTGTACTTTTCATGTCTGGGACTTATTTATTCAGTAACTGTAAGTTTGTACCTCTTTACTATTCCCTTCACCTATTTTGTTCAACCCCCCCCTACCTCCCCTCAGGCATCCACCAGTCTGTTTTCTGTATTTAAGAGTGTTTGTTTTGATAGTTATTACTCTTAAAGATTTCTTGCCTGGCAAGATACAGGTGGCAACCATAGATCAGTCTCCATTTTTGCTTTAAAATTTTACAGACGCATGTAATTAAGATATCTGGTAACTATTAATGTTGGTTCTCACACCCAGACAGGAGGCCCTCCAGCATTCCACGTACAGCACAGAACATTCAGATGGGGGCGCCTGGGTGGCTCAGTGGGTTAAAGCCTCTGCCTTCGGCTCGGGTCGTGATCCCAGGGTCCTGGGATCGAGCCCCGCATCGGGCTCTCTGCTCAGCAGGGAGCCTGGTTCCCCCGCCTCTGCCTCTCTGCCTACTTGTGATCTCTGTACGCCAAGTAAATAAATAAAATCTTAGAAAAAAAAAAAAAAAAAGAACATTCAGATATTCTAAAAGCCCAAACTAGCGACAGAAGATCACTTCCCTTTCATCACCTTCTCCTACCTGGACCAGATGTTTTGCACTCAAAGTTCTACCTTAGGGCTGAGTAAGGTCGAATCACTAGAGATTCAGGCTTTGGGGGAAAAGCCAACAACTTCACAGCATGGTGGTGGTGGAAGTTTCAGTGATAATCAACTAAGGGTCTCTACTTCCTGTTTTCACAAAAAGGACCATGTACCATTCCTGCTGCATCAGAGGGAGAAAGTCCAACCAAGCCAATGAATCAAATTCTGAGTTAAAGCCTTAGCTTCCAATTTACAGACTTCATGGGATTTGACTGAAAGTGTATTGCAGCAGAAGTTCCCAAACATAGTAACAAAACCAGAAACGACTGTGGAACACTTACAAAGCACTTACTAAAACATGCTGGTTCCTCAGCTGAGTGCTAGCTACATATTAATGTACTTAATTCTCATCCTGTCAGACAGGTACTGTTACTGTTTCTATTTAACAGATACAAAGTTAAGTCATTTGCCCAAGGTCATGCAGCTAAATGGCAAAGCCAAGATCTGAACCCAAGAAGTCTCCAGTCTAATAATAATATCTTAACTAAGATATTAACTAATAATAATAATCTTACTACAGGACTGGAAGACTCTTCAAGCAGGGGCTGCATGAATGGCAGAGTGGGAACAGTACAAGGTCCAGTGACAAGGAGTTCAGATGGGAATCTTGCTTGTCTGCACACCAGTTCTCTGCCCTTGAGCAAATCAGTTTTTGCTCATACTCACACAGATACTCTCTGTATCTCCTTGCCTCAGACATAATGACTGGGATTATAATAGGTGCTTCAAAGAACTCTATAAGGATCATTTGCAAAGCGCTGTTCACACAGCAGGCCCTTTGCGTCTCCTCTTTTCACAGTGCCCCGAGGAGGCTGAGACACCAGACTGCAAGGATGTAGGGGGTTGTACAGCGTGAGCCACTTAATCACAGAGCCTTGGGAAACAGCCAGGGTGGAAACTAGCTCCCATTAGACATCCAGTCATCAAATAAAGACTAACTGCCAACACGGTGCCAGACATTCCACGAGGTGCTGGAGACACTACAGTGAGCAAGGCAGCTAGCTATGGTGCCTGCCCCCAAGAAGCTCATGGTCTGATAGGAGGGGCAGAAATGGTTACAAACTATAGCAAGGAAGATTCCTATGAAGGAAAGGAATATGGCCAGGAGGAGTGGATACGGCAAAGGAGGCTGTTCTAGATTAGGAGGGGGTCAATGGAAGCTTTCTTGAGGAGGTTTGGTAGAACTGAAATCTGAAAGATGAATATGGATTAAGTAGGAAATGAGAAGAACCTTGCAGCCTGAGGGAAAGGCCCTGTGACAGGAGGAAGCATAATAATACGTATGAGAAAATCAGAAAGAAAGTGAGAGAAGCTAGAACAGAAAGAACAAAGAAGAGCACAGAATAAGGTCAGGCTCGACAGGTGGGACAGGTCCAGGGCACGGGGTGCTATGGAGTTCTATCTTTACCAAAAGGGCAATGAAAACCAGTTAATGGGAACGTTCAAAGATCACGACAGAGGACGGTGAAACCAGAGTGGAAGGGATGGAGTACTGTCTCCTGAGGATGCCGTCAGGGAGCATCACCCTGCCGGGCTCCACCAATTCCACACCACACCCATGAGGTCCAGGATCTAGGCCAGGAGGCCTGACAGCCAGACCCGCTGTGGGGATTCTGATGTGCAGAGGACAAGAAACCATGAAGAGGCTCTCACCTGGACAACAGGAAATATGTGAATAAAATCCATGCCCTGGATCTGGTGGGGCTCCAGCTGGTGTGGACACTTCATCCTTGGCAGGACTGAGACGATTTTTTCGGATAGTGCTCTGTTTGGAAAAAACCAGCAAAGAGTGAGAACACGCTAAGTGGCCCTTAGGACATCTCTCAAGTCTGGGCGGCATTCCAGAAGAATCTGGGGCTTCTCAGCGCCAGACCGTGACCAAGCTTCTCCTGGCTGCCTGCAAGATGAAAAAAATAAGCACAATTTAGATGTGTGTGTATGCATGTGGCTGAGGCCACAATACTGCTTTCAGGCTTTATTCCAGAATTTTTTCTCCCTATCTTTTTTATATTAAACCACACCGTTTCTTTTTTTTTTTTTTTTTAATTTTATTTATTTATTTGACAGACAGAGATCACAAGCAGGCAGAGAGACAGGCAGAGAGAAAGGAAGGGAAGCAGGCTCCCGGCCAAGCAAAGAGCCCGATGCGGGGTTCGATCCCAGGACCCTGGGATCATGACCTGAGCTGAAGGCAAAGGCTTTAACCCACTGAGCCACCCAGGCGCCCCTTAAACCACACCGTTTCTTTATGAAATTGTGGTGATGTCTGAGGTAGTAATTATTACTGAACATCCTTACATGGTAAAATAGAAAGTTTTCAGTGCCCCATGTTCTTTTACATTTCGTTTTACTGACCTACTTTTTCCAAAGATCTGGGAACCACTAGGTTACATATTAAAAAAATGGTTCTAAATATCATTCAGACAACAAATATTACCAGGCCCTGTGCTGGCTGCCCAGAATATTAAGACAAAACATAGGGCCCTATACTGAAAAAAAAAATTTTTGGAGTTTTTCACTATTGCATAAAAGTGTTTTTAAAATAAAAAGATAGACTTTATTTTTTTTAATACTTTAAAATTAATCCTAGATTTGGGGAAACCATGTCCTTGTTCTTTTTGTCCAGGGAGCAGAATTTTTCTGCTTCTCCTGGGGGGCACTCTGATCTCTCTCCAACACCTTGCTTCAGTCCTAGAAAACATCAGGGAGTAGGGAGGGGAAGAACGGGGCTCCCTGAGATCCCAGAGCATCCTTTTAGCTCCGTCAGGAGGCCAACATCCTCCCCTTGCTCCCACCTGGACCGGGGTGGGGCACTTTTATGCTGGAGTGATAGAGCAATCTACAGGCAAGTCCACACCATGGCAGACTTCAGTTTCCTTCTCTAATCAGCTGATACTTGATCTCCAGATGTTGGGTTCTTGTTTCTTACATACTAATTGGATCAGATTCAAGAGGAGAGAGCAGAGGTTTTTTAGTGGGTCTGCCTTGAGAAACAGTCACAAGGCATGTCCTTGTGGGGCCATATGGAGAAATGGGGGCCTCTGGCTCAGCTTACGTGGATAGTTTAGGTTACAGACCCACCTAAAACCCTTCTAAAAAATAACCTTAGCCTGTTACAGCAGCTACTGTGGTCTTGTCTCCAAGTGAAGACTATTTCCCCAGGTCTTACTAGATGCTTCAAATTCAGCAAGTCTGGGTCTACCTGAAGTATTCCTTGTTCAAGGAACAAGGAAACTTTTATCTTTCTGCAGCTCCATAATCCTTCCCAAGAAATAGACACCCTTAAGACCAACATCTAGAGCGCCTGGGTGGCTCAGTGGATTAAACCACTGCCTTCGGCTCAGGTCATGATCTCAGGGTCCTGGGATCGAGTCCTGCATCGGGTTCTCTGCTCAGCAGGGAGCCTGCTTCCCTCTCTCTCTCTCTCTGCCTGCCTCTGTCTACTGTGATCTCTCTCTGTCAAATAAATAAATAAAATCTTTAAAAAAAAAAAAAAAAGACCAACATCTAACAAAGGCCTGAGTGAGAGCAATTATTGTTTTATCTAGGCTGCCCTTAGTAGGTTCTATGCTCTCAGTCTTGGTGGGAACTAAGTACTATCTAGGGAGAAAAGCTAAATGGCTTCCCAAGGAATGGTCCCTGGAGAACATACTACAAAACTATGTTTATTCCTGGAAAGTAGCTTTACATGGTGGCACCAAGGTTATGGCTGCTAAAAGAGAAATAGTCATGCCCACAGCTCCATGGATCACAATATCCATGTCCAGTCCAATATGTTAAGAGAAAAAAATATGGTCAGGGGAAGATGGACACCCTACTGTATACATTCACAGAAGGAGGGGACACCCATCTCCCAGGAGGGAAGCCTAGGAGAGAACATTTTCACCTCCCACAGAGGGAGTGCATATGTGAATTATCCAGAAGGTCCAAGGCATAGAAGGACACTGTCCTGTGGCTCTCGGCCACTACTGCAATCCCTCCTCTCTGACCAGCATGACTTTAGGACACATGCATCTTTCTGGTCACAAGATGTGTGGCTGCCCAGTGGGAAAGCCCATGGCTGGCCAGCTGTTGCTGGGGCTCAAATGGATAGTTTGGTAGGTAAGTATTAACAAACCCAGTTGACAGCATATCTAAGGCTCTCTCTACAACACACTTTATTTTTTATTTTAATCTCCATCAGACTCTCATGTTTAATTTATTTGAAACTTGTGAGGGGAAGAGGCTGGTGCTTAGCTGGCTCTGCTTCCTAAACTCCAAGCTTAGCAAATGAAGGACTTGGCATTCTTGCTCAGGGCAGGTATTAACTGTTCATAGACATGGGGCTTTTCTGCTCAGTTATATTTTGGTTCAGTGGGAGGAAAGCACCCCCTAGTGGCTACAGATCTGAGTCTGCAGAGGGTTACTGGCTGCATGGAACCATTCAGGAGCTTAAAAACAAGAGGCTCAGACCCTGAACACTATCCAGCCCAACCCTCTCTACCTTCAGACTGAGAGTTGTCTCTGGCCACTGATCAGAGACTGACTACCTTCCTGGGTATAAAGGCCCTGAGGGAAGGATGCCCCGGGTCATCTCGGGGTTTATAAGCCTATTAAACCTGCCTCCCAGAACTCACTGCCAAGACTGAGGTCTTACTCGGCAGCATACGGAAGCAGCTGGAGGCACAAATACTGCTGGACTGAGGGAGGGATGTTGGGGAGACACAGGCAGGCTGGGGGGAGGGGACAAAAGTCAGGAGGACTTCTTGTGGAAGCCCACCAGCCCCTATCTGTTTCTCCCTGTAGCTCAGGGTAGACTCTCTGACTCTCTGAAAATCTGGGAAAATGACAAATGCAGAGGTCCCCAGTCAGGTTTCCTAGCCTAAGACTGAACAATGCCCACTTGCGACTACAGGTGATTGGTTGGATTCCTTCAGTTTTTAAGTGTTCAGTACATGGTTTCCTTCTCCACTGCAAACAGTTTGAAAGAGAGTGAATTAAACCAGGGTCTCAATTCCAGCTCCATCACTGGCTCTGGGACTTTTGGCAAGTCACCTGATCCTTCTGGTCCAGTACTCCTATCATAAAATGAGGAAAAAATGCCTTTCCTCCTTATTTGAACTTATAGTGAAGATGAAAGAGTAAAATGCGCGCACAAGTGCTCTGCACACAGGTGCCTCCACTTGTGTGTTACCGAACTCCATTATGAGCCTAAAAATCTCATGACCTCCGAGCATAGGACTCTGTAGTATGGGACTTTAGGAAAGGCTGGGAGGGTATAGACAGAAGGCAGAAGCTCATGAAACCCTCCAGCAAAAAGGATCAACAAGAACAAAGAGGCCTCAACTGGGCACACACAGAAAAGAGCCTGAAAGATAATGACGCCCTCAAGAGGTAAGTGCACTCCTCAGACAGTGCTATCTGGCCCCCCATCACATCAGCTGGGACGTACTGAGGCCCTGCAAACAGAAGGCAGTATTAAGTCTAAATTGCACACAACCAGAACATATTAGAAAACCAAACAGAAAAGACTTTTGAATAATTCAGTACACTGTGGCTATGGCATTTCTCTTACGGATAATAGAGACCCGAACGCCTGGTGCACTGCTAGAGGCTGGTGGATCTTCAGTCCTGCAAACTGCTGCCCCCAGCTTCGCCCACAATTACAGTCCATGGCTCTGCACTTAAAAGCACATCAATGGGGCGCCTGGGTGGCTCAGTGGGTTAAAGCCTCTGCCTTCAGCTCAGGTCATGATCGCAGGGTCCTGGGATCGAGCCCCGCATCGGGCTCTCTGCTCAGCAGGGAGGCCTGCTTCTTCCTCTCTCTCTGCCTGCTTCTCTGCCTACTTGTGATCTCTGTCTGTCAAATAAATAAATAAAATCTTTAAAAAAAAAATTAAAAAAAATAAAAAATAAAAGCACACCAAGTACCTACCAGAGAACATACTACTGGATATCCTCAACCCCTTATCCAAACCCTTTGGGGCCACATGTGTTTCAGAATTCACAACTTTTTAGATGTTTGCACTTTCATGGACCTAACAGGCATATACTATATATTATGTAGAGCCCAAGTGAAATCTAGACTTGAAATGATTATTTCTGCAGCAAAAGTTATGAATGTTCACCTATGTGGGGGTCCGTATAGACTATAAATAGCCTTAAGAAAGTTCAGATCAGGGGCACCTGGGTGGCTCAGTGGGTTAAGCCTCTGCCTTCGGCTCAGGTCATGATCCCGGGGTGCTGGGATCGAGCCCCGCGTTGGGCTCTCTGCTCAGCGGAGAGCCTGCTTCCTCCTCTCTCTCTGCCTGCCTCTCTGCCTACTTGTGATCTCTCTGTCCAATAAATAAATAAAATCTTAAAAAAAAAAAAAAAAGTAAGTTCAGGTCATGTTTTGTTCCCAAATGAATTTTGTACCCACACATAGAAAGAAAGAAGCCTGTTTTCATTGTTTTTTAGATTTCAGATTAAGAATCTGTATAAAAACACTGTACTCCAGTATCTGTCAAGAGTACTATCACTGCTGGGAAAGTATAATAACTCTCAAGGACACGAAAGTGAAAAAGGGGCTAAGAACCACTCTAAAACACCAAGGGAGTTTAGGAAGAAGGGCTACATGGAATCTAGGAAATGGGAAGACTGGTGCAGAAAGAATGCACTAAAAGAAATCCCAGAACGTCAGGGGTGCCGCAGGTGTCAAGAGCAATCACTTAAACTGAAACAGAAAGAGGCTTCATTCAGGAGTATCTTTGAGAAGATAGTGAATTTATGTTAATAAACAGACTAAGAAAGAATCTGGCCAATCTTAGCTACAGGTAAGGATATGTGCTTCTTTGTGGGGAAAAAAAAAAAAGGCAATCAGAAATTCAAGGAAAATAAGCTGTATAAACATGAGGCAAATTACAGCGTGCCTGATTTTCAGTGACTTTTTGTAAAGACCACCTCCACTTGCTCAGGCCAAACCCCTCAGAACCAGTCTTGAGTCTGCTCTTACTGACACCCAGATCCAATCTGTCATGACATTCTGTTGTTTCTCCCTTCAAAGAGGATCCAGAATCCCTCCACTGCTAGCTCACTGTCCTCGCCACCATCTTCTCCCCTGAGCACGGCTACAGTATGCTTAAGAATCTCCCTGCTGCCAACTTCATCCCCTCACTCAGTAATCAGAGGGTTCCTTCTAAAACCGATTATGAACAGATTATGTTCCTCCTCTGCTCAAAACCCTTCAAGAATTTCCCATCTCGCTCAGAGTAAACTCAAAGCCTTTATTTACTCTGACCTACGAAGTCCTACACGATCTGGCCCCTACAACCTGTCTGCCCCTCTCCCATTGTTCCCTCCTGCCCACCTCACTGTACACCAGGCAAGCTTCTGCTGGGAGCCTTCACGCTCACCATCTCCTTTGCTTGGAACCCTCTTTTCTCAAGTCTTAGCTCCCGTATCACCTTCTCAATGAGGCCATGCTGACTTAAAGTCACACAACTGCCTCCAAAGCATGTCCTTCATATACCGTCCCAGCTATAATTTTTTTTCATAGCACATATTATTTGTATATGTAATTCGATTATTTATTAAATTAGTTGTTTCTGGTCTGTCTCCCTGCCAAAGACTCTAAGCTCTGTGAGGGCAGGACATGTTTCATTAACATACCCTAAGTACCCAGAACAATGCCTGACCCATAGGTGGGACTCCATAAATATCTGGTGAGTCAATGAATAAATAAGGATTCCTTTTGACTGTAATATTTGAATATTCTCCACCAAACAGCACCATTGTCATCCAAAAGATTATATTTCTTTTTCTCTGGCACCATCAAAATTCTTAGTTCTTATTGTAAACACTGTTTATAGATTTACTTTTAGAATCTACCTGTCGATAAAGCATGGACAATTTAATTGCTATTACAGAAAACAGATCATAAATATTATGCCCTGAACACTGTAAGAGTAATGATATGCTGGTAAATGGAGGCTGAAAGGAAGAAGGAAAAACGGAGAGCAAAAACATTTACCCTACATAGCTAGGAACCAGGAGAAACCATCTCATATAAATGAGTCAAGAAACAGAAGCTTATATTGATTAAAGCTATACAACTGATCCTAGAAAAACAGATAATAATTACAAAAGTGGAAGAGGAGAGGCAAAGGGGATGTAGTGAGTAGCACAGGTGAGCTAAATTCCTCCTCTTATCAGATTTAAATGAAAAATACATAATTAGAGATATGGAAGTGAGCTCTTTGAAAAAATCTAAAAGCTAAACAGGCAAAGATGGTTCTTTCCAGGGAATAAAACCAGGGTTTTATAGACTGGGAATAGGGAGAGATGTTAGCTGTATATTTTGTACCCTTTGGCAGTATTTTAATTTTTTTTTAACTTCATGAATGTGGCACCTACACAATAAAAACAAAATAAAATAAAAAAAAATAAAAAACACATGTCTGGATTAAGCCCGGCCAGCAGAGAGTAGAGCCACACACATAGACTCCATCCCACTGATTCCTAGTAAGAACTTTTCACAACAGGTCACTGGCTGCAATGCCACGGTCCCAGAGTGACAGATACTCCAGATGCAGAGCTCAGCTATTCATGGCTGGGCACTGAGGAGCACACTGTCACAGAGAACAGTATGTCCTCTTTAACGACCAGCCCAGAGATGTCCTTTGGTCTTGTTGTTGTAAGAATTTCGGTGATTCCGTGGGACCGATTTTTCTTCAGCATGGAAACTATGAATTGGGTAATTTATCATGTTTTTCTCTTTTTGTTGGCTGCCAGAAAGCCTGGAGCCAAATCTGTGGCTCACCCTTATAAAAACAAGGCATGTTGTGGCCCATGACAAATGTTGTAGCCTTATCCCCAACTCAGTTTGTTTTCCCTTTGCTTTGCTTTGCCTTTTCTCTATCACTGCTTCATATACATATTTGTAAACCACCTTCAATCCATTTGGAAGAGTTTTTTCCTGGGGGAGGATAAAGCTTCAGAAAAATTAAGTCACAGATGCACGCAGATCTGAAATCACAAATCTCTCTCCTGACAGATAAGGGAACTGAGGCTTGTTCAAGGTTACACAGCTGCCCACTAGCAGGGCAGGGCAGAATGTGGGAGCCTAGTGGTCTAATGAGATCACCAAACCCCTGGTGAGCTACAGAAGACTGGGCGGGGTCCACTCAGGTGAAACCTCTAACCGGGAGTCCATGCTGCCTTCTCTCAGTGGCAGGCAAAGTGTGGCTCTGCCTTACAAAGAAGCAAAGGGGAGGGAAAGAGTCTCTTCTCACTCTGTTCAGCTTCCATCCAGTACATTCCTTCCAGCTGCCTTTGGAAAGAGATAAACTAAGTAGTCGGGGATACTCTTACAGAGTATCAGAAAAACTATTAGAGCTGCTGAACATCGCTCATCATTGGGGAAAATACAAGTCAAAACCACAGTGAGATATTACCTCCCACCTGTTAGAAAGTTTAAACTCAAAAAGACTAACAAAAAAGATAACTAGCACTGGCAAGGCCACAGAGAAAGGGGAACCTTTGTCCACTGCTGGTGAGACTATAAATTGGTGCACTGGCTATGGAAAATAGTGTGGATGTTCCTCAGAAAATTAAAAAATAAAAAATTTTAAAAAATCATAGAACTACCTATGACCCAGCAATTTTATTCTGAGTATTTAACAGAAGGAAATGAAATCAGGATCTCAAAGAGATACCTGCAGCCCCACATTCATGTCAGCATTACTCACAATGGCCAACTGTGGAAACAACCTAAGTGTCCATCCACGGATGAATAGATAAAGAAGACATGGTGTGTGTTCACACTGGAACATTATTCCGCCATAAAAGAAAAAAGGAAATCCTGCTCTTTACAATAATATGGATGGACCTTGAGAGCATTATGCGAAGTGAAAGAAGTCAGAGAAAAACAAATACTGTATATTTTCATGTGTATGTGGGAGTCTAAAGTAACTGAATTCACAGAAACAGAGAACAGACTGGTGGTTGTCAGAGGTAAAGAGTGTGGGGTGAGGAAACTGGGGGAAGGGTGACAAGAAGTACAAAAGGTACTTGCAATTATAAGATAGATATGTCCTGGGGATGTGATGTACAGCAAGGAGACTTGAGTAAACAATACTGTATTGTGTATTTTGAAAGCTGCCAAGAGTGTAGATGTTCACATCACAAGAAAAAGTTGTGATAAGAAAGTTCACATAAAGTTATGATAAGAAAAAGTTCGTATCACAAGAAAAAACATTTATAGCTATACGAAGCGATGGATGTTAACTGAACTTACTATGGTGATCATTTTGCAATATATGTATCAAATCATTGTGTTGTACATCTTAAATCAATACAATGTTATGTGACGATAATCTCTAAATGAAACTAGAAAAAGAGAGAGTGAGAAAGAATAGTCTGAGCATGAAATGACGTATAGGCTAGCTTTGTGACTGTGGCTTCTATCAAACTCCGTTTCATAATATATAAAACTGTAATAATACATACCTGTTGGCAATGAAAATCAAAACAAAATATGTAAGGCATCTAGCATAATTTTTGGCACATAAAGAATACTCAAAAGTTAGTTCCCTTCACCCCCTTTAGGCTCATCTGTGGCAAACCCTAATAACTTACATTTTTTGTCCTATTGTAGAGTTTTCCTGAAACAGCAAATCAACGTCTACGTCAAAGCTGCAAGTGGTAATGCACCAAGTCATCCCTCCTACTACCTGCAAGACATGAAGAAAATACCTGTTTTCTCCTTCTAGTTTGGGGAGAGGGGAAGAAATGGAAGGGAGAAAAATATGTAAGTTTTTATAGAATCAATGATCATACAAAAGTGTATCTCTTTAGAGAGAGAGCACATGTCCTTCTGACTCCATCAACTACAACTCGTCTAAAACAGTACCACCGAATAAAACTTCCTGCAGCGATGGAAATGTCCTGTATGCATACTGTCCAGTACGCACATGGCACACATGGGGCTAGTGTGACCAAGAAGCTGACTTATACTATGAAACAAACATATTATTCACAGATCCTCCTTATATTGAGACATTAACTCTTAGCCAGGAGAAGGCTTAATCCAGTTTTAGGTAAGTGCCAGATTCCAGAGGAATTACGTGTTTTGAGATCAGATCAGACAGGTTAGTAGCAAGGCTGACATTTGTGGCTCATTACTGAATTTCCGTACATCTTGTTTTTTTCATGTATCTAAAGGAGAGAAGAATCCCTGTTCTACTTTTCACAGAGGACCTTTCAGAGGTGCAAATGACCACTGAGGTTAAAAAAAAAAACTCCAGCTAAATACTTTTCAGATATAGCTCGATGGGGACTCTGATCTCTGGCTGTGTTTAAACACAGTGAGACGCCTATAAATACAGATTCCAGGCCCCAGCCCAGATCTAACCAAGTATCAAAGGGTGAGGCCGCAGCATCTGTATTAGAAAACAGTCCACAGCGATTGTTAAGCCAAGCCAGGCCATGGTCCACTGGGGCACTCAACACTTTCTTCCACCGGGAAGCTTTCCTGGCCTGCTCTGTCTGATCTGGAAGCTTCATTTCTGCTGCACTTACTACATCATGACACTGAGTATGCTGCTTTACTTGTCTCCCGTCCCTATTCTATAGAAGCTGGCCTCCTTGAGTACAGGGCCTTGGTCTGATCTTTGTGCCCTCAATACTTATTACTATGCCTCGTATAGGATTCTTGAAGGTTCTGCTGAATTAACAGACTTCAACCCATAGTGACTTCTCTCCCCTCCATAGTGACACTCACTGCCTCCAAACTCAGAACTAACCATCATTAGAATATGTGGCAATTGTGTGCACAATGACTTGGGACAGCTCCTTATTAACTCAGATTTTATCTCCCATAATCTTTCTCTCTCCACCCAAACTGTAAGTTCCTTAAAAGGAAGAACTAGTTCTAATGTTTTTTTGCACTTCCCAATGCTCTGTACACAGAAAAGGAATTCAAGGCATATCTACTGACACATTTGTATTTTCTTGTAATAGGAAATTGGAACACTTCTTTTTTTTTTTTTTTTAAGATTTTATTTATCTATTTGACAGAGCACAAGTAGGCAGAGAGGCAGGCAGAGAGAGAGGGGGAAGCAGGCTCCCTGCTGAGCAGAGAGCCCGATGTGGGGCTCGATCCCAGGACCCTGGAATCATGACCTGAGCCGAAGGCAGAGGCTTAACCCACTAAGCCACCCAGGTGCCCCGAAATTGGAACACTTCTAATAACGAACCTGAATCCAAGAGAAACATGGACATTAGAGAAAGTAAAAACACAATCTCTTCCTCTTTTCTCAGCCTTGGTTAACCACTCCGTCCCAACAAAACAAAGCCTAACGGTTAGAAAGGTTTCTTCTTACCTTGTCAAAAGGTGACAAACCTTTAATTCGTGCCCTGAAATATCCAGCTGCAACCAAAAGCTCCAGAATTTCAGTCAGCTTGACGTTTTGTTCTTCATCTTCTCTTGTTTCAACCTAGAAGAAGAGCTAAAAGTTAGGCTGCTAAAATCCACCTTGAATAAAGGAACACTGGGTGTATTTCTGATGCCACAATTTAATAGCTAAGGAGCTGGTGACATTGGCTGTCTTGCTGTGTTCATGCTGGAGCATGGGGACACAGCGCTACCAGAGTCACAAAGAACAGCATCCTCAGGCCTCGATAAGCTGTGTTTACTGTCACAGTGTCACAGGTGGCAAGAAAAGATACAGGGACGCCTGGGTGGCTCAGTTGGTTGGACGATTGCCTTCGGCTCAGATCATGATCCTGGAGTCCCAGGATCGAGTCCCACATCGGGCTCCCAGCTCCATGGGGAGTCTGCTTCTCCCTCTGACCTTCTCCTTGCTCATGCTCTCTTTCACTGTTTCTCTCACAAATAAATAAATAAAATCTTTAAAAAAAAAAAAAAAGATACACAGGTGATAAAGATTACACCTCTGGTGCTGAAGAAAACCAGGGACAGGCAGATTACAGCACATTACCTCCCTGTTCTCTAACGCATCGCTTACTTGACAGGTTCCGACTAAATAATAAACTCCTTACAGACAAAAACAAGTTTTTTGTTTTTTTTTTTTAACTTTATGCACATCTTGGTCCCAAAAGCTACTGACAAACAGAGCAAGAACAAAGAAGGGAGTTCAAATATGTGTCTTTCTCTGCACTTCTCTTTTAGATCTCTAAAGCAAATACAAGGCAGGCTTTCAACCCAGATACACTGAAGGATGATTACTGCCACAAAATGGGATTGCCTTAAAAATAATAAATTCAGGGGCGCCTGGGTGGCTCAGTGGGTTAAAAACTCTGCCTTCGGCTCAAGTCATGATCCCAGAGTCCTGGGATCAAGCCCCGCATTGGGCTCTCTGCTTGGCGGGGAGCCTGCTTCCCTCTCACTCTCTGTCTGCCTTTCTGCCCACAGGTGATCTCTGTCAAATAAATAAATAAATAAAATCTTAAAAAAAAAAATTCATCTAATATATTTGAGTAGGGACCTGATTTTAAAATTTTAAGTTGTATCTTACCTTCGCTCCCAGGTGTTGACAACTTAAAACCACTGAAATATTCTAGTCCTTTTGCCTCCATCTGCTTTCATGAACAGTACCTTTCCTCTCTTTTGTTATTGCAGAACATAAAAAACCAGTAATCTATATAAAACACAGCGAACACATAGCTGGCTCAAATTCTTGGACCTACCTCTGACTACCCCCTCACCCAACAATGCCCATGAACTCTTCCTTTATTATACATGTCCCATTGACCTCCTCCCTTTTATTTATACTTCCTGCGGGGACTACTGCAACTGCCTCTCAATCTTCCTTCTGTTAATCTGTTTTCCTCCCTCCCTCCTAAATCACAACTTTCAGATCCTCCCTCTTTAGCTCATCCCCCAGTCCTTATCATTAACACATCATACATTGTCTGTAAGATAAGCTCCAACATTCTTAGTCTGGCATTTGGATCTTTGGCTGCAACCTATCTTTTCAGCTCCAGCCTTCACCTCCCTCCGGAACAATCTAGTCGTGGTATGGACAACCTCAAGCATGGCTCATTCCCCTTTCTTCACTATTCATACCCCTTCTCTTCTCCTCATACTCCCTAACCACCCAGAAACCAGCCTCAAATTCTAGCTCCTATTTGATGCCAACCCTGACAAATGCAGCCAGAAGTGGTCACTCCTCTGCATTTCTATTTTATTTATAGTTCTAGCCATTCATACAATTAAGTATCAACCTCTTCTGAGTGAAATGTCTGGTGTTAATATATATGCCTGTCTTTTGAAATGGCCTATTAGCTGGATCAGGAGAGGACAATATTTTATTCAGTCATGTTTACAACTCTTCTGAAGCAGCATTAGACTCAAAGGGCCATTAAATATGGAATGACATGTTCAATCATCACACAAAGTGCATGACCTATGCCAGTCATAGATTAACAAAATGTTTTCGTAGTCATGACACTGATAATGGAAATTCAAGTTTATTTTGAAGTACAAATTGCCAGGAGAGGGAGCTTACATATTAACAAATAGTTGCACAAAGAATTATTAAAATGACTGACAATCTCTTGCAGTAGGAGGTGGTAAAGGCGACACCTTGTTTCACTCCTCTCTCAAATCACCTTGGTCCAGGCTATCAAAGCATTCCCTGGTTCTTAGGGGACATGCAAAAATAAAGTAATATTAATTATTCACACCTTCTCTTCCTTTGCAAAAGATCTGGGATAGTTAAGCAACATCTCTAAGTGGGGAGACTCGAAAAAAAGAGAAGGTAAAGAGCAATATGGTTCACAAAGACGGAGTAGAAGAGAAAAATGGGATGATATAAGCATTTTCTTCAAACTCCTAGGATGTAAAACATGAACCTTTCATTTGTTCAGTCATCACTAATCATGAAAACACTTCCAAGAAGAGGACATTTCATCCCAGGAGGATTATTCCTGGTCTGCCTGGACCTAATGAACACCCACTGCCAACCCCAAGGCAGATGCATGGCCCATGGTTTTTATCCACTCATCCCCAGAATGGAGAAGTATGTATAGTTTTGCAATATAACCTGTGAAATAACTTCTTGGTGCAAGACACTGAATGGAGACTGTTAGTAAGACTCCACATTCACTTCACAAATTAATACTGAAACAAAATGAGAAAGGGCCACAGGTTAACACACAGTGACTGAAAGAATGCCCTCTCTTGACGGTATCAAAAGCCATCAGATTGGCGAATAAACCCATTGTTTAAAAACTAAAATTCTGATAAAGATGTATGACTGTGAGCTCTTAAACCGGGCACACTAAATTTTCATTGCTCTGTACTATAGCTCATGGAAGCTGGAAGGCAGTGCCAAGTCTAGCTATCTTCCCTATCCTTCACAGACATAGAGTAAAGGGTTTAAAAAATTAAATTTAAAGAATTAACTGGATTAGTGGCAGCTTAATGACACAGACTACCCATATTCATATGTACTGCTCTTTGAACTGAATGATACTAATTTAACTCTAGCTACCCTCTGTGCCTCCTAATTGCCAAGAACTGTCTTAGGTTCCCAAAAAAGTGACAAATCAGACCCAGCGTCCTGGCAGTCAGAGAAGGGTTACACAAAGGACTCAGAGGACCATGCTGCTTTTTATTTTAGAAAGATCCCCATTTATAGTACTCTAGGACACTGAATTAAAGGGATTTAAGGTGGAACCTGAGAGGCCAGAGAGGAGTCTATAGCAAAAGGTCAGGCAAAAACTCGATAAGAGCCTAAAACAAACAAGTGACAAATAAGAAATATCAAATACCAGGATACAGTTCTGAGTCTTCACAATCCCCCATTCCATCGATGTAATTTGCATGTAAGGTTTTACCTAATACAAGGGTTCTGACAACAGGACATTTCTTAGGTTTTCCTAAGATTACAACAAAATGGACTTACATTCTGGGCACACACACTCACAGATAAATCTGTTGGGCCATCACTATATCCCCAGCTTTTATGCACAGAACAGCGATCCCACAATTAGTGGGTACTTGTGGGATGAAAAACTGAGGATTGGCAGGGGGTCGGGTGGGTGGGATGACAGGCGGTTGAAAGGGAAGGAACCACTCACCATGTCAAGGCATCAGTCCTCCTGCCAAATGCCTGCTTCAAAACCTTAGGAGGGGGATAGAGGTGCAGTGTGGGTTCCATTTCTTTCCAGAATCTAGTAAACTAAACTAGACTTAGCTTTGGAGTAAATCGACTGGAAGAGAAGACACTTGCAAACCACCTACCTATATGAATGACACTTGCAGCCAAAAGGAAATGCACGTTCCCTTTATGCCTAGCCAGTGTGGAAATCCGGAAACCACTGATTATCCTATCCCTTAGGACCGAGTGAGTATTTAATAACACCGCTGTAAGGAAAGGCACCCGCTACGTTCTGGAGAAGCAGCCACGCTTCCGCCAGGCGCACTGCCGGGCCACACAGCCCCACCGGACAGCGCGTCGCCTCCCGCAGACAACCCAGTGCGCGCACGGTTCCCAAACTTCCAGCTGCTACAGGGTCTGGCGTGCATTCCCTGCACACACCGAGGCGAGTTGGGGGGGGGGGGGGTCGGGACCCCGCGGGCCCCTCGGGGCGGCGACAGGCGCCACAAGGTCACCGCCCTTTGCACAACCAGAGCCCGGACCGTCCCAGCACGCGTCTCGTGACTCCCAGGGCACTGCAGCCCCGGGCTTCGGGGAGAGCCCTGCGGCGCCAGGGGTCGGGGACACTGACCGGGAGAAGTAGGACCTCGGGCCCCGCGGCGCCTGGGGCTGCGTGGGGCTAGGTATTGGGCTGGGAAGACCACCTCCCTCCCCGGGGACCCGAGAGCGGCTGAAGTTTGTCCCCGCCCCCGCCCAGGCAGGGGGACCTCCCCGGACCCTAGCGCACAGGGCCAGCTCTCCCCGCCCGGGACACACCTGAGAAGGGGGCGGGGCGCCCCAAACGCTTCCCGGGCGCCGCTCTGCCCGCCACCCCGCGGGCTCGGCCCTCTCCCAGGAACCCGGACGTGTCTGGGAGAGGGAGGTCCTTACCTCCGGGAGACCCTGGCCCTCCGGGCCCTTGGGCAACCCCATGGTCCTGTGACAGACGTGCGGCGGCAGCAAAGCTCGCGGAGCGCCCGGAGGAAGCTGTCCCCGGCCGCGGAGCTGCTACCGGGGTGGAGGCAAAGCGGAAACTTCCTCCGCCGCCGCTGCCGCTGCCGCCGCCGCCGGCCGGGAGCTCGGCGGTCCCGCGGAGCATGCGCGTTGGGACGGGAGCGCGGCGCGACTGCGCCTGCGTGAGAGCCGCCCCGGGGCAAGGCCGGACGGCGGGGGAAGCTGGAGCTACTGTCCCGGCTGGGCTCCGTGGCCGATGTTCCGCGGGAGCCGCGCTCCAGAGCTCCGCAGTTTTCTCCGAGTCCTTCACAAAAGGGGCGATTCCTTCATCTCGGGGAAATTTTGCATTTTGGTTCCCTCTCTGAGTTTCACAGGCATCAGATACCCCCAGTGGGGGTGCTGTCCGCTCTGCGAGCCGGACTTTGGAAGCTCCCTCAGTCTGGTGTTAAAATTCCAGCATGAATGCGTTTGGGAATTCCAGACCTCGGCCCGGTTTTAGCTGAATCGGGGTGTCCCCCTGCTTCCCGCGCACTTGCGCTAACTTCTCGATATGTATACGGACCAGGGAACAGAGTCCCCAAGAAAGGTTGCTGCACGCCTGCTGCTTCTTCAGTGTTCCAGGCAGTGCGTCTTGTTTCTCAGGATACCTGGTTTGGGGTAATGTCCCCCTACCTCCAACATCCCTAACTCTGGGTCTTCCTTAGGAAAAGGTCGTCTCTGCGAGTGCATCTCTGTTTTGACGTCATTTTAGCCTCCACATCGCTTACATGCTGCACCCCCTGTCTGTCCCAGAAAATGGATGGCAGTTACATAAAAGGGTTCTCTCCCGGGCCACAAGACCCCCTCAAAACCCGCACTTGCTTCATAGTGGCTTCTCTAGCTTTTTAAGTTTTATTTATTTATTTATTTAGTTTTAAGCGATGAAGAAAGAGGTGACTTGAAAATTTGCTGTAGTAAAGATCGTTCCCGAGGGGCGGGGCGGGGGAAGGGATGGGGAGAGTGGGGAATAAGAAGCTCAGAGCTCCTAGAGATCAAGTGGGGTGTGTGTGTGTGTGTGTGTGTGTGTGTGTGTGTGTGTGTGTGTTTCCTCTCTGCATACCTAGCATCTTAATAAGCAGATAATCAGTAAATGTTTGTCCTTGGAGGAATTCTTTGGGCTTTTGGTATTCTTCCTGGAGTTTATCCTGACGGAATACCCACCCATGTGATCTCAAAGGCCCTAGAAACGGCCATTTCCTTCTTAAATTCAGTTAGCAAATACCGCTAACAAAACTGTGTGCCAGGCATCACAAATTTGAGAAAACTGAATAGGGAAATTAAGGGGGTTGAGATGGAACTCTCATAGCAGAGTTAGGGGACATCTTGTGCTCACCCATTGGAAAGCCAATGAATCTCAATTTTTAAGGCACCCATTATCAACTTCCCAAACGTATTTATTTTTGTAATTTTAAAATCGCCTTTCCCGGAGGTGGTATACAATGAGAGGGAATGGAGGGTAATTTGTGGCTGCTGTTGAGTGACTAGAAAGTATTGATGTCTAGGGACAGATAGCAAAATCTCACATAGCAGGCAAGCCTAAATAGCTGTATATAAAGTAGTTCAGAGAATAGGGTCTGGAGAATAGAAGTCAGGTAGGCCACACACAAGTTCCCTGTTGGAAATGCCTTCACAATATTTAAATAAACATGAGCAGCTAACTTGCCCAGTTTTACTGTCTGGGTAGGGTGACAGTGGAAGACTTGGGTTGGTGGCGTGCCTTTTTTTTTTCCCCCCTTAGAGGTCCCAGCAAAAAGGCCGTGGCAGCAGTCAAGAAAGCTTGGGCTTTCTGTGTTTGAGAGCGGAACCCCAGTGCAGCTTTGGAGAAGACCTTGAACAGACAAATGTCAGAGAAGGAGGTTTGTGAGGACTTTGGAATAAATGCAACTCTGTTCTTCTCCAGTGGCTGAGGGTATCCCTACAAACATTTTGTCACCCTAATGGGATCTTTGGGGTTTAGGGATCATTCTCTGTCTCCTTTGCACATTGAATACAGAGCTGTATGATGTTTTTCTAAGTGCACACTTCTCAGGAACCTCACAAATACTTTCCCTTTTTGGGTTAAAAAAAGGGGGTGCCATAGTAAAGAGCTTCCTGTTAGGATTACCTTTCTCCTAAGTGAAGTTTTCTAGAAAACCTCAATCATTTTGTTCTCATTTCTCCCAGCCCTTCCTACTTGGCTCTTGCTGTGACCAGCAAGGAGAATCATGAAGTCTTAAAGCAGGAAGGGATCTTAAAGGCATCTAGTGTGTGTTTAGGAAAGCAGAGTGACACCGTTTAAGTCACATAGCATGTTAGTGGCTGTGCTGAAACCAGAGCCCCAAATTTCTGATTAATGATGTCTTTTTATTCATCTATCAAACTTTCATTCATACAACAAACATTACCTCTATATTAGTGGCTCTCAAACTTGCTGCACATTGGAATCATATGGGGAATTTGAAAAGCTACCAAAGTCTGAATTCTACTCCCAGAGATTCTGCTTTAATTGGTCTGCGGAGAGACATAAATATGGGAACTTTTTCCCTTGGGGTATATTGTTTTATATGCAGCACAGTAGTGAACAGTGACTTCTTAAGTTTCCTTATAGATCATGGTGGCACACAGAATTTAAGATCCATAAATGAACTAGGAGTCTTTAAGTTAAATGAGTTCTTCCTGAAAATTCTTAATCGTATGCTAATCTATTCTCAAGCAGTAAAATTTTGCAACACACCATTCTTTATTTAGCATATCCCATTTCTATAGTGAAAAATTGAAGGCCTGGGTGGTGCAAGCAAACTTAAGCCTCCTCTGCTTCTGGACACAACCCAGCACACACACACACACACACTCTCTCACACACACACACACATATACACATACACTCACACACACACATACATACACTCACACACACACAATACAGTCACACACAACTCATACATACATGCACACCCTTACACATACACTCACACACACTCTCACACACATACATACACTCACACACAATACAGTCACACACAACTCATACTTACATGCACACCCTTACACATACACTCACACACATATGCTATATCTCCTGTAACAAATGAGATCTCACATTTTCTTGGTAACATGATTTAATATTTTAAATTGTCTTATTGGGGGAGGAAAAGTTTAAAAAACGTGACATGTTTAAAATTTCACAGGTAATTCCATTGAGCAACCAATTTGAGCCCCACTCTTCTCTGTGCCAGGGAATAGTTCCTGGTGTTGGAGAAGCTACAGTCGGCAAGCCAGATGAGATAGTTACTGCCAGAAATGAAACATGCCACTTAATAAGACAATATTGGCTAGATGAGTTCTTTTCAGGGAAAAAAAAATAGCGTAACAAATATGAGAGGGAATAACTGGAGTCCGAGGCCCTTCCAGACGGAGGGGTCAGGATAGGACTGTCAGGCTCCTTTCGACAGGAGATCTAAATCTCAAGAAGGTGCCATGAAAAGAGCCCAGAGAAAAGCATTCCAGGCAGAAGGAGCATCCGGGGTGTTCTGGACAACCTCCCTTTGCCCCCGCCCCAGACCCACGCTTTCCCCTCTCATCTTGCTTGCCAGCAGGCTAGGCTGGCTGGTAAAGGCTTCTTCAGCAGGGCCTGGCATGTAGGCACCTGTAGGGTGAGGAGCTAGTGTGGGGGTCCTGGAGGGTAGAGTCTCAGGAATCATTTGGCAAATATATGAAGAACTTAGAAAATATCCTTGGATATGATGCTGCCACTTTTAGGGCTTATGTACAAAGATCTTCATCACAATGTTATTTATGAAAGAAAAACCTGGAAACCATGTCAATAGCCCATGAAAGCGAATGGTTAAATACATTTTAATGTGTCTATTTTGTGCAACAGGAGGGTGCTGGTAAAAATGTTCACTGCAGCAGGCCTGCAAGAAAAGGGTGAGAGATGAAGCTAGGTGAATAAGACCAAAGTCTGCCTGTCCTGTCAGAAAATTGGTAAAACTTTGAAAAGGCAAACTGGGAAAATGTTCATTACCTATAAGAAGAGTTCTTACAAATGAGAAAGAAAAATTTGATACAAAAGTGAGCAAAGGAAAAAAATGAACAAAAGACTTGAAGAGAGAATTTCTAAAAGAAATTTTCACTAAACATATGAAAAAAATTCTCACCTTCACATTAAAAAAAATTAAAATGAGGTACCTTTCATGAAAGTAATAATTACTGTTTAAAGGACATTAAACTGCCGTCGTACCCCCTAGTCAATAAGTACATTTTTATGAAGGTTCTAGAGGGTGATTTGGCAAAGTTAACTTTTCGCCAAATATGCGTTGAGTGCCTGCTGTGTGCCAGGCACTGAGAAGCGATCTCACTGGGGGGTGGCAGGAGTGATTCAGCACCGAGGGGGCATTTGGAGTTTTCACAGTGATTGAGAAGTATTACCAACATTTAGCACCCAGATGTTATGGATGGCAAGGGTCCTGAATTGACTTTGGGTCGTAAGAATTGCTTTGGCCAGAGGAGTGTGGGAAGCTCTGGGATTGTGTCAGTTTGGGCTGCGGGGCAAGAACCCTTCTGTGTTTCCATCACTCTCTCATGCTCATTCCATCCATCATGAGAACCTACCCAGGCAGCCACTGCTCCCTGCCTGGGCCTCTGGCTGAGAAACAGACATGAGAGAAAGGAGGGGACCTGAAACTCCAGCCCAGCTCAATCCAGCCAGCCCCTTGAGCGGAATATCAATGGTTGTTCTGAGCACTGAAGATTTGGAGTTGTTTGCTAAGTGTGGTCACTTAGCAAACCTGACATAGACACGGCACAAGGAAGAATTGTCCCTCCAAATGCTATACCCGCCCCCCCAGCATCCACATGGCAAACACTGGATACAGAAAATGAACAAAGTGGAGTTGTGGGATGAACGTGCACAGTCAACAAATAATCACATCAACAATTATATGTTTGCATGTTGAAGTCAGTGCTCTTAATGACAACTTGAAAGGTGGGATTTTGAAAAAGAGGAACAGGAGGTACGTTTTTGAGTGAGGAGTCATTCAAAGTTTCTCCAAGGACATGGCGTTGGAAACCTGGAGTT